CAGCACCTACACTGGCTTGTCGAACAGGATTCTGCCCACAACCTAGAAGAAGGAACACAAAGGTCTCCTAGCAATCAAGGAGAAAGGTACAATACCTGGGTATGAGTACATGTAAAATTGCCAACTAGCTCATCTGCCACTTATGAAGCCTATACACCAAGTTCCCACCAAAGGCAAAGAAGGCCAAATACACTCTTTGCCCATCACAGTCTAGCTCTGGTATATTGCCTTGTGCTGCTTTCTAGGTATTTTAAAGATATACACATTTTGCTCTACAGAGTTCTTAATACCTTAAAACAGAATCAGAAGATCTTCATTTTTTGATAGAGCTTGACTTTTCCTCATAATGAAAAAAGAATCTAAAACCAAGGATATCAACCAACGTTTATTACACACACACTGTTTATAAGGCATAACCTAGGTTATTACCAGTATTTCTAACGAGAGCCATGATCAGGGCTAAAGACACTCGAGAAGAGTAAGTTAAAGAAGAAACCTTCTGATAAGAAACATTTCTTCTTTTCCTTATTATTCATCACACCATAGTTAAGTTACATACAAAACTAGAATAAATACCTTTCTGTAATTCAACCTCTCAAAGTAGCAGAAAAGGGAAGGAAGCCAAAGATTTCTAATATTCTGTCACTACTGTCTACTATCAAGAGTCAAAAGTAAATATTTATACAGTGGTCAGTCTACTACAAGTGTCAGTTATACTGGAACCTAGCACTGCTACGAGGGATGTTTGTTTAAAAAACAAATATGTCATTGATGAGAATTTAGAGATTATATTCATCGCAGTGTTACTAATTTAAAATTAAACTGGAAGGTAAAAACAGATAAAGTTACTTGAAACTGAAAATACATCCTGGGTGGCTGCGGATGTAGTTCAGTGGTAGAGTGCTTGCCTTGCATTTTTGAGGTCCTGGGTTCAATCTCCATTACCATGAAAAAGAGAAAATTTACCCAGGGAAAATGATTAAAAAGACAGTATCAATATATTCTGTGAATTAAACTCATAAGATACTAGTTAATAAAGACATTAATATTACATAAGTTTCCAGCTTTTTAAGCTACAATAAATTACATATGCATTCAAGTAAATAACTACTCTTAAAAATTATGTGCAAGGACCCGAGTTGAATCCCCAGTACCAAAAAGAAAAATTTTGTGGACTTTTTTAGTACACCCATCCTCAAGGTAGTTAGGATTAAGAAATGAGTATTAAAGCTGGCCATGGTGGCACACTCCTGTAATCCGACCACTCTGAGGCTGAGGCAGGAGGATCAAAAGTTTCAGTTCATCCTAGGCAACTTAGCAAGTTTATTTTCTTTATTTATTTTCTTTATTTATCCTTTATTTTCTCAAAATAAAAAAGGCCACTGGGGTGTGTGAGAGGCTGAGGCAACAGGATCATTGCAAGTTCGAGGCCAGCCTGAATTATATAGCAAGACCCTGTCTCAAAAGGCAAACAACTAAAAACTAAAAAAAAAAGGCTGGAGATATAGATCAGTGTGAAGGCCCTGGATTCCAGCATAGTGGCGGGGTGGAGAGGGAGGTGTGTGTTAAAAATAATAGCAGAATAAGATCCACAAAAATGAAGATTTCTGTCTCATACAGAAAGGGCTTATTCCTAGATGCTAGAATAGTGCCTGGCACAGTCACTGCTCAGTAAATATTTGTTACATGATTGTGGAGGATTACATCATTTAAGGAGGATGACAGATCTTTGTTCAATCACTCACTGTACTTCAGACTGTGACCTTATTAAGTTACCTGACATCTCAAGGTCTCGCTACATGCATCTTTTCTTTTTCTCCCAGTACTGGAGATTGAACTCAGGACTTTGTATCACAAGTGTTCTACTGGCCTTTTTTTTTTTTTGAGATAGGATCTCACTAAGTTGGCCAGGCTGGCCTTGAAATCATGGTCATACTTCCCACCAAAAATGGAGCTGGGTCACAGGCATGTGCCACCACACCTGCCTACAGGCATTCTTTTAAAGCATGGGAGAATAATGAGAAAGTAGTGTGGTTTCCTACAAGACTTTAAGGTCCTGGGCCGGGGATTTAGCTCAGTGGTTTCACCGCCTGCTGCACAAGTGCAAGGACCCGAGTTCGATACCCGGTACCAAAGAAAAAGACTTTAAAGTCCACAAGGACAAGTTAAGAAAGGAGAATTAGAAAGAATTACGGAATCATGAGGAAAAAACAAGTTGACTATCTCTGTTCTGAAAAGCTGAAATAAAAAATGCTCCAAATATGAAATTTGTTGAGTACCCACATGCCACAGTAGAAAATTCCAAACCTGACATATCATGTATCAGGTTGAAGTCAAAATGCAGATGCACAAGACACAATTTATTCAGTGTTCTCAAGGGAAAAATGACTCTTCTCACCCCATTAGTTATGATAACTGTTTCATGCACAAAATTATTAAAAATACTGTATAGAATTACTTTCAGGTTGTATGTTTAAGGTGTATATTGAACATAAATACTGAGCTCAAACTTGGGTCCAAGCCCAAGATATCTCATTATGTATATACAAATATTCCAAAATCTCAAAGAAAAATTTAAAAAAAGAGAGAGAGAGAAACCAAAATCTAAAACAAATTCAATCTCAGCACTTGGGAGACTGAGGCAGGAGGATTACTGTGCATTTAAGGCCAGCCTGAACTATAGTTCAAGGCCATAGTGATTTCAAGGCCAGGCTGAACTATATAGCAAGACCCTGTCTCAAAACAACAACAAAAATTGTTGAAATGTGAAACACTTCTGGTCCCAAGCATTTCTCTCTCTTTTTTGTTTTTTTGAGATACAGTCTCACTACATAGTTCAGGCTAGCTTTGAACTCACAGAGATCTTTTTGCCTTGGCCTCCCAACTACTAGGACTACAGGTGTGCACCACCACACCTGGCTCCCAAGCGTTTCTAATAAGGAATATTACACCTGTACATTGGTCAGGTCTCAGACCAGGTAAGGACAGAAGTTGGTTTTGAATATTATCAATTATTAGTACAATTAATTAAGAGTATATACTACTGATTGAACATGACTATTAGGCAGAAAGTTAGACATTAGCAGGCCTGGAGACATGAGGCTGGGCATTACTTGAAAAGCAAAGAAGGCCAGCTATGGTGGTGCATACCTAAAATCCCAGCACTCAGGAGGCTGAGGCAGAAGGATCACTGCAAGTTTGAGGCCAATCTGGGCCACATGGTAAATTTTTTTTTTTTTTTGGTACCGGGGATCGAACTCGGGTCCTTGCACTTGTGCAGCAGGCGGCAAAACCACTGAGCTAAATCCTCAGACTACATGGTAAATTTAAGACCAGCCTGAACTACACAGGGAGACCTTGTATCAAAAGAACCAAAAAAAGAAAAGCAAAGAAGATATAATGTTGTTTTTCATTCTTCCTTCATTTTCTTGATCATTAGCTATAGATAAAATCCACATAAACTTGTGGTTTCAAACTTTGGCTCAAGAGAATATAATCACTCAGCGTGGTGGCACAGTCTGTAATCCCAGCATTTGGGAGGCTGAGGCAGGAGGACTGCCAAGAGTTCGAGGCCAGCCTGGGCTACATAGTAAGCTCAAGGATAGTGTGAACTACTACAGAGCAAGACCCTGTCTCAAAAAAAAAAAAAAAAAAAGAATGTAATCTCTGAGCATGCCAAAAAGGTCCAGGGCCCAAACAATGTATGATGTCCAGACCATGGGTGAGGGCTTGGAAAAACCTCAGCGTTTCAAATCAAAAACAAAGCCACCTAGAGAGTAAACAAGGACCTCCTAGGTCAACACAGAGCTCATTTTCCTTGTAGAAGGATAAGATCCAGGGCCAATACAAAGTCCAGAGCGTGGATGAGGGGCTGAAAAACCTCAAGCCTCAGACAAACTAAATGGAAGACATACATACACTTAGAGAGTAAACAAGAACCTCCTAGTCTACACAGCCCACTTTCCTTGTAAAAGAACAAAGACGTTAGAAAAAGGAAAGGATATTCCTTGAAAAATCCATTAGTCACATAAGTGTAACCTGAGAGCTCACTCAGTGGAACTGCCACCTTGGCACCTGCCCATCTTCATACCTGAAGGCGCACTGTCACTCCCTCTGAAAAATCGATCATTTTGCAAGAAGCTCTAAACTGTAAACAGCCTACATGTCTGAAATTTTGCGTCAAAGACACAAAAACTCAAGGTGTGTTGCTGGTTCCTCATGCTGTTAGGATCCAGCTTCCCAGGGACAAAACTATTTGGGTTTTTTTTTGTTGGTGCCGGGAATGGACCATGCACGTGCTGGCCATGCACTCTACACTGAGCTACACACCAAACTATTTATAAGTAATTAAGAACAGCCAAGGATCAGTGTTTACAAGCCCAGAAAGAATCAGAAGATGGAGAATTTCTCTGGACTCTTATCTTCCTCCAGGGAGTAATGGTAAAGTCTCTGGCCAATGAGGAGCAACCTAGCTTTTCAGCTCAGAAGTGAGCCCTAACTAGGTAAAAACATCACCTGTGTTGTTCCAGCCACTCCTACATAAGTTCCTAGCATAGTCCTGGGCACATAGGAGGATTTCAATGTCATACATTTTAGGGGAATATGGAGGACCATGCAAACAATCCAATGCATCAAGGTGGCCCTGCTTCTAAACAATGGTATGAGATCATTCAGGAAAAACAACACAGCGGAGTCCTATGCTGGATGAAACTACTGACAGCTGTTAAGAGGCACAGGAACTGGGACTCTAATAGACTGATCTCGCCAAATGTATGGAGGCAGGTGTGCGCATGTGTGCGTGTGAGGGAGAGAGGGAGAGAGAGAGTAGGCTGTTCCTTGACCTCTCCTGGGTCACTGAGGTGTTACCTGCTGACAAGACATGTCCAAATACGACCTCGGACACGTCTTCAGGAGCTAGTGTGGCCCTTTTCAGGACTTCTTTGATGACAGCTGAGCCAAGGTCGTGGACAGGCACAGTAGATAAAGCACCATTGAAGGAGCCTACAACAGAACGGTGGAAACAACGGACACGTGAACAAACTTGAGGACATTGCAGAAGCCACCACGGGTGCTGGGGCCGGTGGAATGAGCGCCATTTGGAAAGGTCACGGAGCGGATTCATGAGGGCCCATCATTCCCAAACGTAAGCCACGGATGCTCTAGAGGGCCAGGATTTCAAAACTACGGCACTAAGAAGCTGGAGGCCTACCCGTAAGTCGTTTGACCAGCCGGACCAAAGACCATAGTCTGACAGATGGCGCGGCCAGAGCCGGCCAATCAGGGGTCCTCGCCAGAGAGCGCTTCCCGACATCACCCAATGAGAGAGTCTAGCCTCGCAGTCGCTCCACCACAGGGAGCCAGTCCGAGGACGAGGGGCGGAGCGGGCCCCTAAGGCGAATAGGGGGCGGGGCCGCAGAGAAGGGCGAAGCCAAGTGCTCCAGGGTCCTGGCGGGGTCCTTTGCTCATCCCTCTCCCACATCATGCAGATCTGGCCCTCGGGATAGGCGGCTCGAACCCCGAGCTGGGCCCGCCAGCCACTCACCTATTGCGGTCCGCGCCGCTGAGACGATGACCACGGGGTCGCAGCCTGCACTCATTCTGCCTCGACCAAATTTGCCGCCGTTCTCCGTCAGCGATGCTCGAAGAGTGAAGCAACGCACTCAAGCGTGGCTTATAGGCCGCGCTGAGGGCGGAGTCGGAGGCCACCCCGCCTCCGCCGCCCCCCCCCCGCGTGGCTCTCAGTGCGCAGGCTCGAGGCCGGAAGTCGGGGGAGCGAGGCGGGGGAGCGAGGCGGGGGAGCGAAGCGGGGGGCGGGGTCAGGAAGCTAGTGGTTTTCTGGGCCAGGGTGGGTGGTTTGGGGATTCGTGTCGCTAAGAGGTTCCCTGAGTGGGAGGAGGGTGTCCGGCGGAGTGGGCCTGGGGGTTCTTGTACCGAGGGGAGGGAAGGTTCCAGGGTGGGTGTCTGGGGGTTCCCTGAACGAAGATACGGATAGGGTGCTGGCTTGGAGGGCAGGATGTTCTCTGGGTGAGGCAGTGTCCGAGGTGGGATCTGAGGATTCTAGGGGCCCGAGGTAAGGGCCGGGGGCGCGATGGAGCCGCGGATCTTAGACGCGCACACACCCTTCAGATCTTTATCTGGGCCGCCAGTGTTGTAGTACCTTCTCTCATGTTTTGGGTTGTTGTTTTGTTTACCTGGGAGTTTTTCTGAACGCAGAGAGTGGGAGTGACTAAAGAGGATCTGCCCTTCAGCCCGGGACTCGAGTCCCACTGGCAAGAATCTCCAGTGGGAATCCTGCCAACTACAGGACTGAGGACATTTCCGATGTGTCCTTTTGCTCTCATTGGCTTTGAATATTCCTCCACTTTTTGCCTGGGTGCCATAAACATCTTCTGCCTCACATTCCCAGAGACAGCAGCAGGACTGTCCTTTTGTCCACATCAGAAGTTCTTTTGTTTGACTTGACAGTTTAGACAATGAAACACTAAAGGTATGTAGTGATGTCACTTATGTTTAAAACACATTGTGACTTCTTATCCCCAATCGGTGAGAGTCGGAATCTTTCTGAGCCGTCTAGTTACCTCAACAACTGGTGCCAATTCCTTTTGCAGCCTCAGCTCAGGCTCTTTCCCTCTGCACACCTCCATGGCCTGCTGCAGCGGCTCCTGCTGTTTTGAAAGGATCTCCATCCTGTTTGCTTTCGACGCTGCCTACTCCCTAGGAAGGAAAGGGTTTCAAGGTAAGCATTGCAGTGGATTAGGAGGGAAAAACTGTTGACAAGCCTAGAGACTCCTCCTGAACTTTAAAATAGACTGAAAAAATCTTTAGGTCTTAGGAACCCAACTGAAAACTTTGTAGAGATGTGGATGGATTAAATAAACTGGAGAACATAATTTAAGTGTAGACTCTAGAGTTAGACCATGGAGGGGAAAAAATTGGATAAGTGTTTCCCTTAAGAGAAATCTTTAGAGTCTGGAATCGGGATGGGATCAGCGATCCTTTCTGCTAACTTAGCAGCACATGTATAAGTCTCTTTCTGGTGGTTTGTAATGTGTTCCCTATAGGAACTCAAGCAACTTTTATCTGTTTTTTTATTTGTTTTTTGAGACAGGGTCTTGGTTTATAGTTCAGGCTGGCCTTGAACTCAAAATATAGCCCAGGCTGGCCTCAAATTCTTCGGTGGTTCTCCTGCCTCAGCCTCTTGAATGCTGAGGCCTCTCAGAGTGCTGGGATTACAGGCACGTGCCTTCTTCTGTGAGAATAGTTTCTTAAATTACATCTAGATCTAGAATCATATGCTACTTTGGCTGGCAAAGAGGAGTTAGAAAGAAACCACTATAATCTCCAAGTGCTTATGAGGAGCCACCATTTTATCGGTGCTGCAGAACTAGGGTGTCCTGAAGGGGCCTTGCAATCATTCTTGTTTTTTCATAAACAGAGGTGTAGGAGTCCAGGCCAGGCTTTACACCCAAGGCAGTATTCACCAACTTGCCATGCAGCAGATTCATCACTTGGTCTCTGTGAGGGGAGCAGTGAATCCCCAGTACATTTGCCGTGAGCTGGGAGCGGTGTGCACCAAGGGTAGCTCCACACTGCCTCACCACAACTGCCCCATTATGGGTCCAAATCAGAGGTAATGACATTAACCTGGGCTGTAAAGTGTTACTTATAACCACAGGGGTAGATGAACTCCTAAAGGGAGTGTCCCCCACCTCCCAAAAAAAGTACAGAGAAAAACCAGTTTATTCACATGAGAAATGGAGAACAGCTGTGGGAAAAATTACCAGAAACAATGACTCTGCATTGTTTTGCAAAAGTGTCTCAGAAATTAGAATGATTCATCTACATCACACATAGGTGAGATCGGGACATGATTTCACACTCCTGTAATCCCAGGACTCTGGAGGCTCAGGCAGAGGATCTCAATTCCAAGCCCATCCTGGGTTACATGTGAGTTCAAGGCTGGTCTGGATTATATAATCAGACCCTATCACAAAATAAAAGATCAACTGAGAGAACAAGTTCATCTGTTGAGTTGTTTGCAACCAGAACTTTTTATTTTTTGAGACAGTGAGACACGGTCTCACTATGTAGCCCGGGCTGGCCTTGAACTCACAGCAGTCCTCCTTTCTTACTCTCTCCTGAGCGCAGGGATCACAGGCGTGTGCCACTTTGCCAGCTGCAATAAGCACTTTTACATATATTAAACTCTTCCCAGCATCCACTGAATTTTGTTAAGATCTGGCAACTAAGTTGATCCTTCGAGACTTATTCCTCATGTGCATATGTTGGTATTTCCTTCACAGGCCAAATCAATTTCTCCCCCTCACTGGGATAAGTGGGGCCTCACATATGCTTGGCTGAAGTGCAACAACTGATCTACTCCACTAGCAGCCAGATTACTTCTAAGAGACTACACTTAACTAAGCCTGTGACATTAGCCTTCATCTTTACCTAAAATCTTCATAATTTGCATTTTTAAAGTTATTGCATTGTTATTTTGTGTTACTGTTTCCAATTCTTAGCACAGCAATCATTAAGACTGATTGTAGGGCCAGGGATTTAGCTCAGTGGTTCTTGCTCCTGCCTCACAAGTGCACAGTCCCAAGTTCAATCCCCGGTACCAAAAAAAAAAAAAATTGATCAATCGTAGGGGCCAGGGTTTTGGCTCAGTGGTGCTGTCACCTGCCTCACAAGTGCAAGGTCCCGAGTTCAATCCCTGGTACCAAAAAAAGAAAGAAAGAAAAAAAAGACTGTAAGCTGGACATGGTGGCACACACCTGTAACCCCAACATTCAGGAGGCTGAGGCAGGAGGATTGCTGTAAGTTCAAGGCCAGCTTGAATTCCAGAGCAAGGCCCTGTCTTGAGAACAAAATACAAAAGACTGATTGTGTTCTCTTACATGGTGGCCCACCCTCATGCTATAGGGTGTACTTTTCTTACATTTACTTGACCCAAATTCGTTCTACAGAGCCTGTTTCTTTTTCTACCTTTAATAGAAGTTTGCTACCATTAAAAACAAAACAAAACAAAATTTGATTGTGAGCTGTAATCCCCAGCTCAGGTACATTTCCTCTTATTCAACATGAAGGGAAGCAGAGTAATAGTAGTATTTTAAGCCTTGGCTTTTGGGATCAGAGTTGGTCCAGCTGCCAGCTTTGAGGTGGATGGATGTCCAATATTTAGCAACCCTTTAATTAAAGCTATTGTTTCTTTCAGCAGAAACCAAACAGAAAAGTAAGAATTCTGTTTGGAGTTGTCTGACAGAGATTGTCATCAAGACTGGAACTTAACTTTGAGATGAGAATAGTGGCTAATATTTATCGGCAGTCACTACAGTCACTATGACTTGGCACCAACTATGAACTGAGTTTGTGTCTCTACCCTCAAATTTATGTTTAAGCTCTACTCCCCAGTGTATTAGATGAGGCTTTTCAAGAACAGGATGGCAAGTGAGACAGGTGATTTCTGTGGCCTGTGGGGATACAGCTAGAAGGTAGCCAGCTCTCCTTCCGCAAGCCAGGAAGAGGGCCATCACCAGGAAACACACTGGCCAGCAAATCAGATTGGTCTCACATTTCCCAGCCTTCCTAACTGTAGAAATAAATGCTGTCAAAAAAGCCACCCATTCTCTGATACTGTTATAGCAGCTCAAGCTAACATAGCACTGTTACATGGACTTTACACCACTTAATGCTCTTTTATGAGGAAAACAAAGTGAACCAGGGAGTTTAGTCTGCCCAGCTCATGGAACAAATGTGTGGTAACGTGCAGGATTCAGACCCACTAGCTAGAAGCCATTCAGTCTGTACATGACTTGTACCTTCTGTCTTACCAGCAGTTATACCAGAAATAAAACATCCACTTCCAGAGAGGGATGTACAATCATTAAGTGAATAGATTATTCATCAAGGCAGATTCAGCAGCCACATATGAAAATTAGTAATGTCACATTTACAAGTCTATATATAAATCTACTCATAAGATTATATTACTGTGGGGCAGGGATTTAGCTCAGTGGCACTGTCCTGAGTTCGATCCCTGGTACTGAAAAAAAAAAAAAAAAGATTACTGTGGGGCCAGGGATGTAGTTCAGTGGTTCTGTGCCTGCCTGGCAAGAGCAAGGTCCTGAGTTCGATCTCCAGTACCCTCCCCAAGAAAATTACAGTACTGGTTGAAAAATTAACAATGATTACATAACACCAACAGGATAGAGAAATTCTATTTTCATTTATATTGGACAGGTCAAAAGGATATAAAGCCATAAGAGTCAAAGCCTAGTATTTGATAAATCAAGGGAACACTATTTTAGTACACACGAAAATGTTTAATGATATACAAATTTACTTAAAATTTTTTTGTATGGAAATTTTCACGTAAGACCGCACAAAAATTTGAGTAATTTTTTTGTAGTCCAGGGGCTGGTACTTTCTGAGACATGTCTCCAACAACAGGTCAGTATTTTGGGAGTTTTTATTTTTTGGTATGGGGGGTTGAACTCGGGACCTTGCCCTTGACAGGCAGATGAGGTGCCACTGAGCTAAATCCCCAGCCCCACAGGGGAGTATTCTTTTTATCAGTACCGAGGATTGAACTCGGGACCTTGCGCTTGTGAGGCAGGCAGCAGAGCCAGAGCTAAATCCCTGGCCCAGGGCAGTATTTTTAATACATCATTTGAGACCATGAATGAAAGCCAGCTAGACAAGCAAAAAATAGAGTAGTTATTTGCAATTAAGTTGTATATGTTTATTACATGTATATGTATTGTAACTCCACTTCTGAGGATCTTTGAGGCTGTTATGTCTAAACCAACTGATTTGTTTTCAGCAGAAATGTTTTACATTAACCATATATGAAGAACCATATATTGAGTCTAAAGACCTTGATAATTAATTTTTGTTTGGAAAAAAATAGATCAAACTTTGTCAGTCCTACACCTTAAAAACATTTTCTCCCAAAGGCTTACTATGTAATATACGCAGATAGGTTAGTAAAAACCAGTAGTACTGGCCAGTGTTTTAAAACCAACAGCACTGACTGCGCAGATAAACTAAATACCTGAAATCAAGTCACTAAAACTGCTTTTTCAATTAAAACCTAAAAAGGACTTGGGTGACTATTTCCTTTAGAAATTCTTATATTTTCAGTATTTTATAACAATTATTTTTGTATGTCAGGAAAAAAATTTAAACTCTATAACTTTTTTCAAAACAGGACAAATCAAGTGTGCACAATCAAAATTGACAAATAGGGCCAGGGATTTAGCTCAGTGGTTCCGTCGCTTGCCTCACAAGCGCAAGGACCCGAGTTCAATCCCTGGTACCAAAAAAACCAAAACAAAACAAAACAAAAAACTGACAAACGGAGTAACTTAAATTTCACCTTTGTGGTATAAGAGAATGAGAAGAAATTCAGCTGGGTGTGGTGGTGCATGCCTAAAATCCTATACCACTTGGGAGGCTGAGGCAAGAGGATCCCCCACAAGTTCTAGGCCAGCCTGGGATACACTGTGAGTTTGAGGCCAGCCTGAACTACAAAGCAAGACCTTGACTCAAAAAAAAAAAAACAAAAACAAAGTCAGCAATTCAATGAAAATAAATGACAAATGTCAAACACAAAACAAACCAAAAACTAATGAAGTTATAATAAAAATCTTTATTCAGGTTTGGTCAGTACAGGTAAGATATACTGGAGTCACAGAGCAATATGCATTAACAGGATACAACAGTTCATAAAAACTGAGTAACTATGCACACAAATTTCTTAAACATTCAGTTACCTAAAGAGAAAACGCACAGATGTATGGTGGGAAAAACTGTATCTAACATGGGAACTACTATAGGACTCCATCAACAAGTCCAACTTTTAGTGAAGAAAACTACTGTACTGGGCACTCGGCAGTCATAAACCCACATCTACTCTAACAAGTCTGAATGGTGCAGAAGTATATAACAGCATGAGTAAGAATGCCCTTACACAGCACAGGTTCTAGAGACACATTTATACAGACATCATTGTGTTATACTTTAAGGAAAGATTGCCATTTACAATTTCACATTAACTCATATAAAAATAACTTGACCCTACACAAAATGTCCTTTTAGCAACATTCAGAGAAATTAACTGGTACAATTTCCAATGTGGCAAAGGTACTGAAGCCCCCCCAAAACAAAAATAAACAAAAAACCCCAAATGAAACAAAAACACACACCCACAAAAAGGCAAGTTGTGACAAAAGTATGCATTAATTTTCTGGACAGTATCTTCTCCCAAATTAAATGACACTGTATAAAAATTTGCTGGAAAGAAATATTACAAAACTGAACCCTGTACATTTACACTTGAGTCCAAGCCATTCTGAACATGGCGGGAACCCACAGTTCGGTTACCTTTCCCACTCACTGCTTTCTCCTCTTGAGGGTCATGATTGGAGTCTGTGTCATTTGAGTGGTGTGTGAGAGAGTTTTCACTGCCCGTGGGAGAGTCTACACTTTCATACCCCACACTGAGTTGGTTTACGTAACCACTACCTCCTCTGCCAGTTCTCTCCTCTGAGCTGTTGGAGGCCTTATTACCACTCCCTGGAGAAGAAGGAAAGCCATCCTCAGTTGTGTTCCCCTCCCTGTGAAATCCAGACCCAGACGTCCTCTGACGGGAGGAGCTGCCGTTACTTGGTCCATTTGCCAGACGACTGCAGTCTTTACTTGTGGCCTCCACCTGTTCTACAGGTTCAGAAGATGTAGTCCTGCTGGTGCTTGGGGCGGAGGCTTGAGACTGCTGCTGTTGGTACTGAGCCAACTGTTGGCGAGTCTCTTTCAGTTGCTGCTGAAGAACTAAAATGGTGCTCTGCATACCCTCTACTTCTTCGTCAAGTTGAATGATGAAGTCATTCAGTTCTGTGCAAAGGAGAGTCAAACCTACTTTAATGTCTTGTTAATGCTTCATAGTGATCAAGTACAATTCTAAAACTACAATAATATATTTTCAATTTTTACTTGGAATTTTAAAGTAGTCATTTAGGAATGAGTTTTTTGGGGGGAGGAGGGGGGAAGCCAGATGCTTCAACATCAAATAACTTATAAAGACTTAAAATTGATTCAAAGCTGGGCATGGTGGCACACACCTGTGATCCCAGCACGTGGGAGGCTGAGGCAGGAGGATCACCACGAGTTCGAGGCCAGCCTAAACTACATAGGGAGACCCTCTAAAACAAAGATTCAACTCACTCTTTTACATACAACTGATTACAGCCTAGAAAGTTTAATCCATGTTTTTCCTGTGGGCCCAACATGGCCAATCCCTTCACTCCTTACCTTCTTAGCCAGTGTCTTAGCTCCACAGCACGTTTAGTCCTTAGGACACTGATCCTCTAGTCTAACCCTCCAGAGGCCTATGCTCTAACCAAAAACTTCCACATACAAAAACAAATTCACATAAAATAATTCTTGGAGAGTCTATACAAAACCTACTTAACATCTTTATAAGTAGTAAGAGCTAAGAACTATCTTTTAAAGGGGCTGGGGATTTAGCTCAGTGGTTCCGCCGCCTGCCTTGCAAGCGCAAGGACCTGAGTTTGATCCCCGGTACCAAAAAAAAGTAGTTTTAAAGATATTACTGATTTTCTTTGCAATTAATCATACTAATTTAGTATCAGTATTTGCAATGTACTGATTCTCAGCTTAAATTTTCAGTTTTTTAAATGTAATTAAATACCTACATTTATTGAAGATCATGGGGTGGTTAACAGGGAAAAGGGTGAAGGGAAAAAGAATGAAGGAAAAATGGACTCTATAAAGGGGAAAAAAGGCTAAATTTTCAGTTTGGCTATGTTTCTTACTATTAATTTTCACAAACAGAAAAAATAGCACAGATGCAGATATACTTGCCCAAAAAAGGATGGAGAATAATTTTGGTTCCCTCAGCAAATATAAATATTAAATCTCTTATTCACCGAACAGGACCTTAATGTAAATCAATTACATTATTTTCAGACTGGCCTTGAATTCAATGGCAAGCCTCCTGCCTCAGCCTCCCAAGTGCTGGGATTACAGGCATGTGCTACCACACCTGACAAATTTTTATATTTTAAATACAGTGTCTTTTCCCTAAAAACAAAAATCTTACCAAGTGTTTGAAATGTTTCTTTCCTAATTTTATATAACCACAGGCAGAGAAGAGTACGTACAGAATCTAACCTATAATATTCACACTTGGCAGGTTTTATAAAGCCAGTGCAAAGTTAAGCAAATTTTTCAAAATTTGAAACCCCTTACCATCCTGACTGCTCTTAAGCTCCTCACTATATTTCTTCTGTAAAGCCAACTCTGCTTCAAGCTGTGCAATACGGCCCTGGGACAGCTGCCTTCCAAGCTCCTGGTTCTCCTGGATAAGCATTCGACACTTCGCCATTAACTTTTTGCCTGTTTGGCTGCAAAGGAAAGAGCCAACCATCACAAAATGTAGACAAAACCCTATAACCTTCTTTGGTTACAATTATTACAGCAGTAAATATAACATGAACAGAATTTAATTACATCACAGCAGATGCCAATCTGTATTTACCACCTTTCCAGGAACATGTCCTCCTCCTGCATTTCAGTATTTTGCCAACACAGCAGCAAATTGAAGTTCTAAACAAATCATGCCCAAATAGCCATTTTTTGTTTCTATCACTTTAAGTATGTATTTTCATTCCCAAATACAACCTGAAATACAACCAGGTGTGGTGGGATATGCCTGTAAACCACTCACTCTATGCAGCTGAGGGGGGTGGATCACAAGTTTGAGACCAGCCTGAGGAACTTAGTGAGGCTGTCTCAAGGTTCTAGGTTTAATCCCCAGTACAAAGTAACAATTTAAAAAAAGAAACAGACAAAACACACACACACCTCGAATACACCAGTATTAATACAGCACTGAGATACTTGAAAAGATACATGTACTAGCAATCATAGATATATGTTTAAAAATATCTTCTCTAAAATATCTGTAATATCCAAGATGTATTTATTCTCACTGGATAGATACAAGGAGTCCTCTTAACAGGTAGTTCTCTGGTACATTCATCTTTCATACTTCCCAAGAACATGCTATTCCAATAAATGAGGTACTTCCAGTATTTTTGGTTTTTTCCTTATTTTATGGCACTATGGATTCAACCTGCTCTAGGAAAGCATTCTACCACTGAGTTACATCTGCAGGCCCTTTTCATTTTTTGAAAAAAGATCTTGCTAAATTGTCTAGGTTGGCCTTAAACCTGGGATCTTTCTCCCTCAGCCTAAGTAGCTGGGATTATCAGAACACATCACCATACCAGGAAAACTTTAGTGTTATTAGTTCTTAAGTCTTAAAATTTTCTGGCCAGGAATGTAGCTCTGTGGTAATACCCTTAGCCAGCATGCACAAAGCCTTGGTTTGACCCTTAGCACCACATAAAAAGGGGAGGAGGTGTTCTTTACTTTCTACTCATTAATTCCTTTTTTGGTGGTACTGGGGATTTGCACAGCTATATCCTCAGCCCTTGTCATTTTTAATTTTGAGACAGTGTGGCTAAGTCATTAAGCTGCCCAGGCTGGGCTTGAATATGTTGCTCCTACTGCCCTGGCCTTCCACAGGGCTAGAATTCCCGGGATGTGCCAGCACACCCAGCTTCTTTTTTAAATGGCGGTAATGGTGATTGAACCCAGGGCTTTGCACTGAGCTACAATCTCAGCCCTTTAAAAAAATTTTCAGACAGGGCTGGGGATTTAGCTCAGGGGTTCCACCTCCTGCCTCACAAGCACAAGGTTCCGAGTTTGATCCCAGGTACCAAATAGAAATTTTTCTTCCAGAAAGCGTCTTGATAAGCTGCTGAACTTTACAGGCTATGCTCTAACTCACAATCCTCCTTGGTCACCCTCCCATAGTGCTGAGATTATAGGTGTGTGCTACAATGCCCGGCTTCATGTAACTTTTGTTTTGTTTTTTGGTACCAGGGATCGAACTCAGGACCTTGCGCTTGCGAGGCAGGTAGTGGAACCAATGAGCTAAGTCCGCAGCCCTCATGTAACTTCTTTATGTGATTAATATACTGTTGAGCTGCCAAATGGACATTGGGGCCTAAGTTTTTAAAAATTTATTATTGATATATAGTCAAGATTTTACTGTTATAAAACCTCACCCATACATCACAAAGATCAGTAGTTACTTAACAAATGCAAATATTAACATGGAAATATCTGACAAACTACAAGTATCATGCCATCAATACATTTATTTCCAAGTGCTATAGCCATATACTATAAAACCTATATACATAGCAAATGCAAAAGTATAATTCAAAGCCCAAATAGTTTAATAAAACTTTACTGCCTTTTTTTTTTAGCCTCAGCAATAGCTGAAATTATTGTTTTTCAAGGGATATAAGTATATAATTGTGATTTGCATGGGGAGAGTATGACACTCTTGTCATTGTGTTCAGTCCATGACCTTCTTGGTTAAATACATTTCTTTTATTCTAGTATTTCCTTCTTCTAGTGGGCTTTTACTTGCCTAATACATTACACTTCAGAATAGATGATACCATCAAACCTTAGAATTTTAAAAATGGGAGTTTTTCGGCAATTCTCATTCTTTCAAGTAGTGCTGTAAGGTTGTTTTACCTGTACTTGTATATAATTCAACAGAAGGTTGGTAATTGGGATTCCTTAAAAAATCTGGTAAAGTAAAACCTGCTCAAAGACATCCTAGTGGCTTGAAACCCACTGTGTTAGCAGGTGATAAAGGTTAGGGTTAGGCACAGGCACAACAATTCTAATCGGTGGTGTTCTTCATTGCTGTTGCAGCTTCAGATTTCCCCGTCTCCCACGGGCATCCTCAGATATTAGCCTCCACTGAATAAGCACTTCAGAAATCAAACAATCAGGAAATAAGATAGACATCATCATTACAGTGCAATCCCTTCCATTTGGCTGCCCTATGCTCCAACAACTCTTTCTTGCAAAGCACACAGCATTGGCATTTTACAACTATCCTTAAAATTCTCTCCCCGTTTATAGGAATTAACTAAAGATTAGGAAAAAATTGACAATTGTAAAATACATTAATTTGTGACCTGATTTAACCTAATACAAAACCCTCAAAACTACTGAAATAAAGGTTTGGTTTAAAAAGTCCTTTTTTTTTTCTTGAGACAGGGTCTTGCTATGTATTTCAGGCTGCCCTTGAACTTACATCCTCCTCCAGTCTCAGCCTCAGGAGTGCTGGGATTACAGGTGTGTGGCACCACACTTGGCTAAAAAGTCATCATTATGTAATGCCTGCTCTAAGATAATCTTATCATTTCTAAAAACTAGTGATACCTAAAACAAATCTTGACAAAGTCTGATTTCTTAAACATTCTGTAATTTTGTTTTAGGTTTTTTTTCTGGTACTGGGGATCAAACGTGGGACCTTGTGCTTACAAGGCAGGCAGCGGAACCACTTAGCTAACTTCCCCAGCCCTGTAATTATGTTTATTAATCATCTCATGTAAAATTTGTGTTGTACTCATCAGATCACAAAAAAGTGAGGGTGGGGGTGTATACAGTAGTAGAGCATGTGTAAAGTCCTGAGTTCAGTCCCCACCACTGCTGTCCTCCATCCCACAAAAAAGAGCTGAAGATGTAGCTCAATGATAAGAGTAGTAGCTCAGCGATGAGTGCTTACCTGAGATTGACTCAGCACCATGAATGAATGAATTAATGAATGAAAAGAATTACAAGTAAATGTTTCAAAAATGAATAAAGTGTTACTCCTTTCATTCAAATGTTTTTGGGATATTTTTCTAAAGTCACAAAATGCCCACCAAGCAGTGTCACCTCTCTATAACCCTAGCTATTCAGGAGGCTAAGGCAGAAGGATCACAAGTGTAAGGCCAATCCTGGAAACTTTAGCAAGACCCTGTCTCAAAATAAAGAAATAAACAGCCTAGAAATCTAGGCACCTAGGGTGTTCCAGGTTTGATGGTTTGATCCCCAGTACAGAAAACAAACGTAACAAAAATACCCAACCCATTTCTAAAACCAAATAACCCACAAAGCAAATAAATCAGGAAATACTTCAAGAGAGCAATTTGTAAAAAAGAATGAACATCGTATATTATCATGGTAAAGGTAGCAAGATTGTTTTAAAGAGATACATAAAATTACCTAAATGATTAAATGCAAACTGAAAACTGCCGAAATACTGAAACACACCCTGTAAAAACTCTAAAATGTATCATAAAATATTTTTAACTACTGGACAAGATAATTTAGGGAATTTTCCTCCTTCAAAACAGAAAAATACGGGCTGAGATTTAGCTCAGTGGCACTGTGTTTGATCCCCAGTGCCAAAAAAACCCCCAAAACAATCCCAGAATAATAGTGAAGTGTAAGCCCCCCAAATCTTCTATTTGAATTATTTATTCCACATTGAATATTACTGACTGAACATTACTTGTTCCAAATGAGTGATATATTTATAGTACCTGATGTTCTCTGGTTTATATATAGCCTAATTTTACAAAACAACCATTTGTAGATGATTAAATTATGATTAACAGATTCTATGTAATAATTTAAAATGTACTGTAGATGTACTAAAAAATGCTCCAAGGTGGGTGGAGGACAAGCTGCAAGTTATCTGTATGAACAGTGTAACATGTTTATTAACATACATAAAATGATTATATATATATGTATATACACAAATGATCTTGATACCCAAGAAATTTAACACCAGTTACTGCTCCTGGAGAGGAGAATGTGGAAGGTAGGTAGAGACCACATCCAGGAGTGACACTCATCTCTCATATCCACTTTTCTCTGGTGTTTCAATTTTATACGTGAACATTATCTTAGGAGAAAAGCTTAACAATAACAAGAATAAAAGACCATGGACCTCTAAGTTGACTGGCACCTAAATGGCTAAATTTGACTCTAAGTTAATGATGCATTTTATGAATTACTTTACCTGTTAAAAATATATTTAAGCCTTTGCTACTATGGTTTTAAAAGGCATGAAATAAATACAAAACACTTAATATGGGCATAAGCTAATTTCAAACACATGTGCTTACTTACCCTCCAAACCTCACAAATAGTGAGAATTTTAGAGACGTATTTCTTGAAGTCACATAAATCGCTTCTTCAACCCACCCTCTCCCACAATCAGTTCCCTAAGCACAAACATACAAGATACTTACAATTGATTTGAATGATTAAGAGAGAACTTAAGTCAACCTTGTTAAAAATGCACTTAAACGTTGAGACAAGCTGGAACATTTATCTTGCACTCATCTTAGACTTCATTATCACCAAGCAAAAATTCAAATTGGTGACTTATAGAATGATCTGACGAAAAAAATTCACCTCCAGGACTGGATGGAAGCATGAAGAAAATGCCTCATTTATCTAAATGATCAAATGAATTTGCTAGAAATGGTCACTATACCTTGTTTTTTTCCCAATTCATAAAAATGTCTCACTTAGGGAGCCCACAGTTCCAACACATTATTTCCCCAATCTTCTGGCAGGCACCTTGTGAGACTGTCCCACATGCTATTGCAATATCCTGGGACAAAGTGTCAAAACGTAACGAGTGTCAAGTCTCCTTGTTTTTTATGTACCAGCCGGAATAAAGTAGGTCTTTTAAAAATGAGACACTTCTCCTTCACTTTGAAGAGCACAACCAATTTTCCAAAATGAATCTCTCTCCACAGCACCCCCCCAAATTAAAATGTTAAAGAGTACAACAAAATCATCATAGTATTCCTTAAACTTAAAAAAAAAAAACAACTATTTCAAGGCACATTTAATTTAATATCAGAAGTGTTAACACAAAAGGCCCAAATACAATGAAGGAACACATTCCCCCATTAACACCAAAGACAACGCTCTTTTAACATGTGCCTGTTGAATGAGATGAGGGTTTCATAAAGTTCACTACTGAAAAAAAATTATGCAGTGAGTCTCATCACAGCCAATATCCTTATACAATCTAGTTGTGAAATGAATGTTTATAATGCTTTCAACAGTTTAAGCCTGAAATCTGATACCACTCCTTCATGTTTGTACAGTCCTTGGTTAAGATTATCTACAGTTTTTGAAACCATTCAAAGAACAAACCATTGATTAAAACGATATTAATTTAGGCTCTATTAAGTAATATAGAGCCCTAAGGCTAAATGGTTAAATATATGTATTACTTTACCAACATCTATTATTTCTTTTGTGACTATTCAAGTTGGTTCTTAGCAAATAAACCCTTTAAAGGCAAAATTCACCTCATTTGAGTTTTGACCCAGAAGTTCAACAACAATCACGAAGTCCACAGTCTTATTGGCAAAACTGATATACAGTGTCTCTAAGTCACTATGCTCAAGGTTAAGAGCGATGCATATTCCGTTTTTACATTTAACTGGAATTTTACATGTTCAATTCATGATTTGAAATCTCTAGGTTTTCAATCCTCCAAACTGTCTGAAGACACAGTGTGCCACAGACTAAAGACTTCTGTTTCTCCCTCTATTTTCTTCAAACAGAAACATTTCTCAAGTGTCTACATGTTCTAGAAGGGGAATTTTTCGAAGGTGGCCTCTTCTTCGGAATAGTCCGATGGCATCAGGCCTCTGAAGCAAGGGGAAGGGGAAGAAAAAAAAGCTGAAACACAAGGTTCATCTGGTAAGTTTTACATTAACCATTACAAGCTGGACAGTATAAGAATGTGGCTTTTTTTTTTTTTGCTCAAAAAGTCTGAGTCTTGGTGTGCAAACGAGTACTTGGCTGTCCCACCACAGCTTTCTCGTAGTGGGACTGTCAGGGAAGTCTTGACTGGGGAGTATGATTTGTTTACCTATCAGGCGTAAACTTCCAGGCACTCAGTTCATTTTGGGCTTGTTCCAGTTTGTCTTTAGTCTGTTCCAGTTCACCTTTCATTTTTAGGAAAAACAAGTTGATCGCTGGGTCTACCATTGTTGATCTCAGTTGGGCAACACTCGGCTGCTGGACTTGCTTGAGGTACTGGATTTGAGTCTGTGCAAAGCAAAAGAAACGATTACTACCAAATCAAAGGAAATATGTAAGAAAATGGGGAAAATGTCCCTTCATTAACTTGATTTGCCAGCTCATTTATTAAATCCTATATCCTATCATCTTCAAGTTTTCCCTAGGGGGTAAGAGGTCTAGCTCCATGGCACAGCACATGTATGCAAGACCCTGGGTTCAATCCTCAGCACAAAACTAAAAAGAAATGAAAAACCTCTAGTACAAGTAAAATTTAAAAAAACTAATTTACTTAAGAATATTCATATAGGAATTGTGTCCATCTGATTCTATTTCCATACTTGGGGACTTTCTTATCTTTGAGGCAAGATCTCACTATGTAGTTCAGGCTGCCCTTGAACTCTATGTAGCCCAGGCTGGCCTCGAACTCAAAGCGTTCCTCCTGCCTCAGCCTGCCGAGTGCTGGGATCACAGGTGTGTGCCACCATGCCTGGCCCATACTTAGGACTTTTAAAAGCCAAAGAAGTACCCCCACCAAAGTTTATATGTACTAAAGATGCTGACACTCCCTGGGGAAAAAGAAAACGAAGCTTAAAATATCAATCATAAAAAGAGCCAGTGACGTCTTAGCTCATTTAATTTTTGTTCATTCTACATAAAAATTCCCCTAAAAATACACCGGATACAAAATTATATTTAAACATATTTGCATTTCATAAATTAAAGGTATATAGCTAATGTAAGTTGTGATGTAACTTTGTAATAGCAAAATTCAATAGCACCTTAAGACAAATATGTAATTCATTTTTTTCCCTTCTGAGTAATTTGAATCACAGAATTATAAAGCTGGAAGGTACTGACCTAGTCTAAAATACAATTTTTGAGAGATTAAACATCCCGCTTGCTCAAGGATACAGTAAGGTCAGTGCCAGTACTGTAACTAAAATTCAGCTCTCAGGCCTCCTGATTCCAGGTCTAGAGCTTCTTCCACCATTTTAGAACCCCTCTACTCATATGAAACCTTCAAATTCGATTTCAGTTTTACTATTTTACTAGCACACTAAAAATAACTTCTAAAATATGAAATACAGTTGTTAGCATTTAATCCATCACTTTTTTCATACCAAAAGAACTGTTTCAAGATCCGGCTCCACACTAAGGCTTAAATAGGATAAAAGTTAAAATTTCCTACCATACATTTAAAATAAGGCACAAATACATTAAGTGCACTGAAAATATTTTTAATTACTGTTTCACTGTGCAAGCAGAAATGTTCAACTTAATGGAGATTTTAAAAGTGTAATTCATTTCAAACAAGTACAACTGCTCAGTTATACTTATGGCTAACTACTAAAATAATTTAGCCAGGTGTAGTGGCGTATGCCTTTTATCCCAGCATTCAGGAGGCTGAGGCAGGAAGATTGTGCCAAGTTTGAGGCCAGCCTGGGCCACATAGTGAGTTCAAGGCCAGCCTGCACTATACAGTAAGACCCTGTCTCAAAAAACAAAACAAAACAGATAATTTAATGCAGGAAGAATAAAGCATGTCTGATAGTATATGTCATATGCTGATAAACAAATAAAACAGTGTCTACAGTTTGCATTGTCCTAATCAATACTTTTTGGTCATGTAAAGAGAAACACAGATGACTAGAATAAATTCCATGTGCTAGGGAAGAGAACACAGAGTAAAGTATCTTAAAAGTTTTATTTCCAAGCTATTCTGAGGTGACTTATAAATGAAACAGAAAACAGGAAAGCCAATCCTAACACTGAGGAAGTCGAGGCAGGAGGATCGTTTTGAGTTCAAGGCCAGCCTGGGCCACACAGTGAGTTCAGTGTGAAATGCATAGCAAGACCTTGTCTCAAAAAACAAAACAAAAGGAAAAATAGGAAAACCGAGGAAAGCAAAACTGATTAATTTTTATTTATAAACACAGAGCTAAACAAGTATTATAAAAATCGAAGATGGGGCCAGGAATTTAGGTCAGTGGTTTTGCCGCCTGCTGCGCAAGCGCAAGGACTCAAATTCGATCTCCAGTACCAAAAAAAAAAAAGCCCAATAAAAATCGAAGATGTAGCTCTGTGGTACAGCGTTTGCCTAGTATGCTCAAGGCCTGTGTTTCCATTCTCAGGATAAAAAAGAAAAAAAAAGTCAAGATCAGTAGCTATTTCTTTGGCGTAATTAGGACCTGGGTTCATTCCCAAGTACCACAAAACAAAACAAAACAATCCCAAACACTACCAAGTGACTTGGCAAAGACAAAGAAGAAATAAAGAATTATATAAGTAAGGGCCAGGGGCATGGTTCAGTGGTAGAGCGCTTGCCCAGCATGTAATGCAAGACGCTGGGTTCAACCCCTAGCATTACATAATTAAATGTTTAAAGAGAAAGTAAGTATGTCAGGCAAACAGAAGACCTATACAGAAATAACAGATTCCTAGAAACGTATTTTATTTTTTTACACTTAGCAACACTGAAGATAAAAGTGGCAATTCCTTTTTCAAAGGTAGAATACAATCCTTACAGTATTTCTTCCATTCTCAAGGGAGTAGGAAGAGAACTCTCCTGACCCAGGTCAATCCCTTCAACTATGTATTTGTTTAACCTACTCCGCCTGCCTCCTCTGGAACCTTTATCTCAACCTTTCCACCCTTTGAATTCTCTGTCTCTAAGCTTGCATTTCATAGCTCCTCTAGAGTCTAAACATTTTCCAAAATGTCTCTCCTTAAACTCTCTCAATCTTGTATAACTACCACCTAGAAACTCTTAGTATTAATCGAATCTCATTAAAGAAAAAATCTTAGCCATGTCTCTATTTGACATAGCATCTGCTGTCAACTGCAACCCTGCTCTGCCCCAACCCTCAACTGAAATAGGTTTCACTAAAGTGGCCCTAATTGCTAAATCCAACAATTTAAAATTTGAATTCTACTGAAACTTACTTTTGCCTTTAACATTAACAACCATTTTCTTTACCTCCCCCCACTACCGGGGATCGAAATCAGGACCTTGTACTTGTGAGGCAGGTGATGGCACCACTGAGCTAAAGCCCATTTCTTTACGGGGGGGGGGGGGGGGAGTAGAACTGCATTTCCTCAATCTAATATTATAGTCTGCTCTTCTTTCTTTTTTCATTTTTGGTACCAGGGATTGAACTTGGGACCTTGCACTTGCGAGGCAGGCGCCGGAACCACCGAGCTAAAATCCCCAGCCCGTCTGCTCTTCTTTTAAAAATCACCTTTTTGATAGGCTCTACCTAGTAGCATCATCCTCAGCCACACAAAAGACAAACGATAATCTGTGACACTTCCCTAAATTTACTCATTCCTTCCCCCAAAGTCGGACCAAGTACGTCCTATTGATTGTACCTTCAAAATACCCTATGACCTTCCCTGCCACCACCAGTGGCTTTGTTATCACATCTGGACTTGTTTTTTTATTCCTCTGGACTATTTTTAGAGTCTTGCAACTAGTTTTCTTGTTGCAGACTTATTTTTTTCTCAAATGTATCCTTCATACTCAAGCTAATGATCCAACTAGATGCTTACCTGATCAACCACATAAATTTCCTGCTTAAAAATCTTTTGGTGGGGCTGGGGCTAAAATTTAGCTCAGTGGTTCTGCCGCCTGCCTCGCAAGTGCAAGGTCCCCGATCCCCAGTACCCCCCCCCCAAAAAAGGGTGACTAAACATTACCCACCCAAGGTTTTGTCCAGGTGTAATGATCAAAACTGCCACTCTGTGTAGAACATCTGGAGATACTAACCCGAGTCAACAGCAGATTATCTGAGCAACTGGTAATAACTGCCATAGCCTGCCTTGAAAGTGCAAGGTCCCGAGTTCCATCCCCGGTACCAAAAAAAAAACCTGCCAGATCTACAGTATCAAGAATAGCAATCAGGAAGAAGGAATTTATGACTCTAGTGATCTGCCATTTACATTCTCCCAGGTACATTCTGAAAGATTCTTTTTTTTCTTTACATAAAAGTGAAATATGTTAGGCCGAGGATTTAGTTCAGTGGTTTTGCCACCTGCTGCGCAAGCACAAGGACCCAAGTTCGATCCCTGGTACCCAAAAAAAAAAAAAAAAAAAGTGAAATACGTTAAGGTACCAATTAGTAATGGTGAAGAAAGAAGTAGCAGTAGCAATGAAAATCAAAACTGAACTCATAAAAACAAAGGAGAAAAAATGGTAATGTAAAGAAACGAGAGGCTACTCTTTAACAAAGTAAGAGGTGAGGAAGTCATTTGCAAAAGTCAAAGAAGGAATAGGAAATGCAGACAATCTCTGAACAGAAAGTAAAAGGATTATGACAAAGCACTAAAAAACATTCCACTGAGAGAAGAAATAAGACTGTGTCTACATATTTTAAGTGTCTCCAGGGACCAGAACAATGACTCACACAGAAGATTTTAATAAATCTTGAAGCAAATGGATAGCAAACAAAGAGCTTAAAAAGACATCCAGATTTTAAAACTAGAAACAAGAGTGGAATGGCTAAGATTATCAAAAAGGGCATTAAGACAGACAAAGACAGATGATCAAACGTCATGAGATTTCAGATCTCTGTAGACATGGCAAATAGTATGCATGAAAGTGCTAATGATTAAAAGCAGAAGTTGCTGATGCTAGAACGAACAGTTTTATGCAGAGGGTCAAGAGTAGAATATACTAGTAACCCTGTCCAGACAGTGGACATTAAGCAATAAAGATGATTTTTTAATTGATTATACCCCCAGATTATGAAGCAATATGAATAAATACCTGGAATGGTTATAATAATTCTCAGCATAAAAATTTCAAAGGATGCTTTCTTGCCCACAAAAAATTTTTTTAATCCAGTAAGACACTCTGTATGAGTTTAGCTTTAGCATATTTACAACCGAAGTGTATAGAACTTTAATAAAATATACACTTACAGTCACCATTAACATAAAGTATTTCAAATTGACATGTAATAATTTGGATTAATCTCTCTCAAGTAAAGGCTTACACAATTTGAAATACTTACAGTACACTCTTGCATCTCTTGTTCCTTGGTTGCTAGTCGCATTACAAGGATGTTTTCCCTACGTGCAGACTCTTGCTGTTGCTGCTTTAGCTTTTCTTCAGATTCCCGTAAGCCAGTTACATCATTTGCTGATGATTGAAAGAAAAAAATAACAAAAAATTATGAACATAATTTCAAGGCCAAACTGAGCTAACCAAAAAGAAAGTTCTATTTCAGTCAAAATAATAAAAAACTGCCTGAAAAAAATTCAAGTCTCTGATTTTCATTCTATTTTTAAAACAAGGATTAGTTTCTGATCATGAAAGCTTCTTTAGGAAGCAATGGTAATACTGCTTCACACTACTAACACTAGTTTGAATTATGGGTTTTTGTTGTTGAGCCAGGGTCTTGCTCTGTAGTTCAGGCTGGCACTGAACTCACTATGTCTACAGTATTCAGAAAAATGCCAATTAGTATTTTCTAACCCATTCAATATAAAAATGCCTACATGTATATAAATAACTATATGAACTAGTGGTTAAAGGTTTCATAATGTGGGCCAGGGATTTAGTTCAGTGGTTCCACCTTCCACCGCCTGCCTAACTACAAGGACCCAAGTTTGATCCCCGGTACCAAAAAAAAAAAAAAAAAAAGCTTTCATAATGTTCACAACTTCTATAAATAATTCAGCTATGTATTATTAAAATTTCAAGGCATTAAGCTTTTGAACTTGGAAAACTATACTTATAAATAATGTACTTTTTAATACAAAGGGTGTATTATTTGAATTCAATGAAAAGTGACACTAAAATTGTTTAGAATTATTTCTTTTATTGGGTTTTTTTATTTTTTGTGGTACCAGGGATCAAACTTGGGATCTTGTGTTTGTAAGGCAGGCGGTGGAACCACTGAGCTAAATCCTTGGCCCATTAGCGGTATTTTTTTTTAGCAGATTTTGAAAAAACTTTATATAGCTATACCCAAATGTTACAATTTAAATCCTCATGAATCTATTACTGGTTACTTCTACATACTTTCCTTATATGTTTCAATTCAAACCCCTAAGTAGGAAACAAGCATGGATCAAGAAAAGTTTGCAGTAGTTTTAAATTATCCTAATACATGCTCTCAGAACCTTGCACTTAGCACAAGGTCCTGAGTTTGATCCCCGGTACCACAAAAAAAAAAAAAAAACCAACTAAATAAAATAAACAAAAAACTACATTTGCTTTAGTAAAGCCAATTATCCCATTTTTTACAACAATCTAAAAAGAGATGACTATTCAGTCTTTAGGAAGCTAAAACTCAAACTTACAGTTAAGATCTGTGTACTTGCCCTCCAAAGCTTGAACATAGGCTTCATATTGCTTCCATCTAATGAAAAAAATTCATGTCAGCTATTACACTGAAATTGCTTTTATTAAATATACTAGAAAATCATTCATAAACTTATAAATTTAGGTACTCCTGAGAATTCTGTTGCATTACTTTGGGGGGGGGGGCGCGGTTTACTCAAGATTGAACTCAGGTCCTCAGGCTTGCCAGGCAGGCACCGTGAGCTATATCCTCGGCCCCACTGCATTACTTTTAATTGAGATAATTATAAATATAACTTAACCAATAATAAATTATTCACCTCATTATTCCTTCTCAATTTACAGGAGACAAGTAATAGGAGACAGAAAAGTCTGAGAATATACTGAGCTTGGTCTTCCAGGTGAGATCATATCTCAGATTAATTTTTGTATTATTGACACATGGATGGACAGTGCCTAGATTACAGATGTTGAATAATAATCCTATATCACCTTCATATATATTATCTGTCTAAAATAAAAGGCATATAAGATATACATATGCCTATGGCTCTTCTGTGAAAATACATGATTCTCTTTAAAAACACTTATCATTTCTTTGTGTTCAGAACCTTCAAATGTCTCTTCTAGTTCTCTGTAACATAGTATTAATTTCTGCCTATAAATAAAGGAGAAAGCTGGGTGTGGTAACTCATGCTTGTATTTCCAGCACTCAGGAGGCTAAGGCACAAGGATCTAGAATTCAAGGCCAGTCTGAGCTCTATCAGACCCTGTCACAAAAAAACAAAAAAGACCCAGGTGTGGTGGTACACGCCTGTAGTCCCAGCACTTGGGAGAGGGTGAGGCCAGCCTGGGCTACATAGTTTGAGTTCAGGGCTGGGGATTTTAGCTCAGTGGCATTGCGCCTGCCTCACAGTGAGTTCAAGGCCAGCCTGAAACATACAGACAAGACCCTGAAAAAAAAAAAAGTAAGAAAAAGAAAGAAAACAAAAAAACCCCCAAAATTTAAAAAGGGACCAGGCATGGTGGCTCATGCCTGTAATTCCAGCACTCTGAGAGGCTTAGCCAGAAGGATTGCAAGTAGCCCAGCCTGGGCAACTTAGCAAGACCATCTAAAAATAAAAATTACAAAAAGGACTAGGGATATAGGTCAGTGTGAAGGTTCTGGGTTCACTCTCTAGTACAAAAAAAAAAAAACAAAAACCTAATTGGGAGGAACAAGCTGCATATGCTCTCAGGATGTGAGGGGACTTTTCTTCCTTGTTTTAGCTCTCTACCTGAAATATATAGGTTATTACTTCCTCGCAATTACTGCAGATGAATAATAAACTTTTCCCAGTTGCTTATGTGTTAAGCAACCTCCAACAGAGAATACTGTGCCCTGAATATCTATTATCCTGCTTCTTAAGAGCTATGTTTTCTAGCTGCTCTTCCAATTACAGCTAATTAAAATTTAATTTTAAATTAGAAAATGATTTTATTATCAAGGTATGCTACAAGATTATAAAATTATAATATAATGAGCAAAAACATACTTCACAATAAGCTAATCAACTTCCTATGTAAAGATTACTGTCCAGCCAAAGTGATGCTCCTTTATATGGCCTCTGCACTTAAGGATACATACAGGAGTTTATCAAATGTCTGGGGATGAATAAAAGTCTTCTGTGGAGGCTAAGTATAAAAGAACTATTTCAAAGGAATAGAAAACTATAAAAGCTTATGAAAGAACATATTAAAAGAACAGAAAGTACAAACTGGTTAAGTAGTTGGTTTAAAATCATGAGGGAATTAAAAAGAAAGAACTCACTTAAAAGGCTTAAATGAGAATTTCCTAAAGGCAAAACTGAGTGATTTGGAAACCTTAAAGATTATTTACTGTAAAAATTTCTACTATGATTGTTATTAAGATTACTCTTTTTGGGCCAGGAATTTAGCTCAGTGGTTCCGGTGCCTGCCTCGCAAGCACAAGGTCCCAAATTCAATCCCTGGTACCAAAAAGAAAAAAGAAAAAAAGATTACTTTTTCTCCCTAAGGTTAAATCAAGAAAAAGACCAGGGAATCAGTGTTTCGAAGCCACTATGAAACCAGCCTGAACAACACAAACACAAACTCATCAAAAACAAAACAGACTAGCCAGAGGAATTATCCAGAAAGCAAACTAAAAGGTAAGGAGTGTACCTTATCAAAGTACAAAAGAGCCATCACACCATCTGATGGCTGGCCATGTATCACAAGCAAGTGTCTTTTTGACAGGAGACGACAGGAATGATATTTTCAATGGAAACTTTCCTATTCATGGAACCACAGCAAAGAAAGCTAGAACTCAAGGCCAAGGAGTGTACTTCAGTGGCAGAGCACTTGCGTAGTAGGCACAAGGCCCTGGGTTTAAGCCTTAGCACCAGAAGACAAAGCCCTGAAGTCCATAAGTGTAGCTTAGTACAAGTGAAGGAGGAAAATTACCAAACTCCAAGAAACAATGAAATACATCATCTTGTCTACCTAACATGCAAAGTATCTCTCTCCCACTCAGCCTATTAAAATCGTTTAATTCTTCAAATAAAACTTCCTTGAAATTTCTAGAGAAAAAAGTCACTGACTTTCCAAAGGTTGTCCTGGAAAATATTCATTTTAAGGACAGGGATGTAGGTCAGTGGCACTGTGCCTCCTGGCAAGCTCAAGGTCCTGAGTTCAATTCCCAGTATCGGAAAAACAAAAACAAAAAAATCCCAACTATTAATTTTATCTAAAGTTATCAAGTCAAAAACTTACTAACCACAATAATAAAACACAGAATATATTTAAATTATAACAAACACTACATAAAGTACCACAAAGTCGTACTTGACAATATGTACTTCTAAAACACTTATATGATAGTCACAGAAATTCAAAACTAGAAGTAATCTCAACCACTCCAATTTGTACAAGAAAAAATGAAGGACATTAAGTTAAATGAATGGGCCTCGGCCATACTTAGGACAAAGAGTTAAGTTCATTTCACTAGTAAAAAATGTATTTCTTCCATACTAGAAATCATGTTTTAGGATCACAGTTTTTTCAAATGTTAGATACAAAAGGAAAAACTACATCAAAAGAAGCCTATTAATTTGTTAAACTGAAAGTTTCTTAAGAGGGTTTTGCCCTACAAGTTATACACTTTGTACAAATGCTTCCCAAGTAACAATTCTGAACATTTTACACCTCTAGGGGAGAAAAAAATTCAGATTCTATTGGAAAAAAATTTTTTTTTCTTCAAACAGGGTGTCACCATGTAGTTCAGGCTGGCCTTGAACTCATGGCGATCCTCCTACCTCAGCCTCCTAAGTGCTGGTATTACAGATGTGTGCTACGACACTTAGCCAGATTCTGTTAATTTAAAAGTCACCCATGCTAATGTTGTAGTTCTTGAAAGTGTTTACCTAAGTGTTTCTATAAAGAACAAACAGGCCAGCAAACATATTTAAAAAGTATATTAAGTGACTTGATAAAAACAAAATATTTCACGTAAACATTGCAGCATAAATCTCAATATAATGTTCTATAGAAATATTTTTATATTTTGATAGAACATTTTACCTCAGAATTAACTCATCTCGCGCCATAACTTTGAAGTCTGTTTCACTCAGTCGAACCTATAATGAAAATTTTAAAAATGAAGTAAATACCCTTTTGAAATTAACGTAAAGCTGCTCCCAAGAGGAACTCTTGAGCCAGGCTATAATCTCACCAATCCCAGCACTTGGGAGGCCAAGGCAGGAAGATCTTGAGTTCAAAGCCAGCTTGGGCTACACAGTAAGTTTAAGTCCAGCCTGGACTACATAGCAAGGATATCTTAAAAAAGGGAACTCTGTACTAAGACCTATGTAACAACTCTTGAGTTTGAGATTATGGCTCAGTACTTCTTATCATATGTTTAAAAATATTATTTTATTAGAAAGAAGTTTTAAAAGGCAAAGTACTGGAGCTGGGCATAATGGTGCATGCCTGTAATCCCAGCTACTTGAGAATCTGAGACAATAAGATCACAAGTTCAAGGCCAGCCTGGACAGCTGAAGTGAGACTATCTCAAAATAAATTTTAAAAGGTGCTGGTATGTAGCTCAGTGCAAAGGCACTGGGTTCCATCCCCAGTACTGGGTTGGGGGTGGTGTTGGTAAAAACTGAGAAACAAAAATAACAAAGCTAGAAATGGATATGCCATGTGACCCAGCAGTCCCCTCGACACAACTCCAGTTTAGGATGGAACCCAGGGCCTAATGCATGACAGGCAAGCACTCTACCAATGAGCTACATTTCCAGCCCCTTCGATTTTTTGAGACAGGATCTTGCTGAATTGCCCAAGTGAGGCTTAGGCTTACAATCCTTTTGCCCTAGCCTCCTAAACAGCTCAATTATAGGCAGGTATCACCAAGTAGGACTAGCACTTGCACTCTTTAAGTGTATACCCCAGAGAAATTAAAACATGTTCATAGTAGCTTTATGTGAAAACAGCCAAAAACTATGACACATCTACACTATGGAATACTGATTAACAAGGAAGACTATTGATATATGAAACTTGAATAAACCCTGAGAAAACTATGCTGAATGAAAATATAATTTCAAAAAGATACTTCATGATTTCCTTTACGTAACACTCATGAAATAAGAGTTATAGAAATGGAAAACTGCTTAGCAGTTTCCAGGGATTTAGGGATGAAGCAAAAAGTTGGATGTTGCTATAAAGGAGTCAGACAAGAGCCTCAGGGTGATGCTTTGGATATGCTGATTGGTGAAGGTTACACAAAGCTAGACCTGCAAAAAAAAACTATATAGAGCTATACAAATACAGAGTGTATGTATTAACTGGGGAAATTTGAATTGGACTGTAGCAATGGCAATTTCCTGGTTTTCATACTGTTATTCAAGATGTCTGAAAGATACATAAAAAGTTAAATTTATTTTGCAAAGGTTCTATGTAGTTCAGGCAGGCCTCAAACTCGTGGTGATCCTCCTGCCTCACTCTCCCAAGTGCTGGAATTACAGCCATGTGCCACTATGCCCAGCTATAAGATATTAACACTGAAAGAGGATCCATGATGTATGCACAGAACTTCCCTGTACATTTCTTTACAACTTCCTGTGAAATCTATAATTATTTCAAAAAAGTTAAAAAGGGAGCATAAACTGAAACTGTTTCATAAATCGAGAAGTATTTTGTTTTCCCTATACCAAGTAGTGATTGTAAGGGTGAGGTACTTACAGTTTAGTATAAAATTCAGGCATTATTAGTTTGTCTTTAAAGATACTTGGGTTGTAGCTATGTGGTAGAACACTTGTCTAATAAGCATGAGGCTGTAGGTTTGATCCCCAGCACACCCTCAACATATATTTCCAAGTGTAATATGAACCAATGACATAGTAGTATTACAAAAGGAAAGCAGGGAAAAACATTACACCAGATATGGAAAGACTGCCAGAGGAAGCACATAGTAATTCTCATGTTACTAATACACAATATAATTCTTTATTCATTTTATGTATTTGATTCAAAAAATGACTACAGAAATTTCCATAATACATAACTAAGTTGTTCACTTAATTATTAACTCTAACAAGCATATACCTTGCTTCTCCCACTGCATCACAAATTCCTCCTAGAAACTACTAGTTTTTTTCAACACTGTGTGCATATGCATAGTATATATGTAACAGTAAGGAAAACTCAAGGTACAATACAGAATGGGGGAAAACAGGTTAGAAACAAAACTTCAGGAAAAAGGTAGACTTAAAAACTAGTTAATCTCAAAGCCAGGCATGGTGGCGCACACCTGTAATCCTAGCACTTGGGAGACTGAGGCAGGAGGATGGCTGCCAGTTCGAAGCCCTGTCTCAAAACAAGCTAATCTAAAAAATATACAAGTGGTTTTAAAAGTTACAGTCACAGGGATTTAAATTAGGAAAAATGAATATAGTAACTTGTGAAATAACCTTTCTTGAGGTGTATATGTATATATTTTAACAAAGATTATTATTATAAATGCAAGAGGTGAAAATTAAGGAAACAATAAAAAATCCCCTTAAGCTTTATTATTAAAAAAGTACTTAAAAACTGCTGAAAAGCATACCTTTTTGGGAAGAGGTTCTTCGTTGGTCATCTTGAATCCTAAAAAAATAAGGTTGGGGAAAAGAGGTTCAATTGACTCTCTTACAATTAAAGTAGAACAAAAAATACTGGTTCTTTCAAATCAATTTATTAGCAAATTAAGTTATATTAAATCAACAGATTTTTAAAATTTTAAATCTTTTATTTTAGAATAGTTTTAATTTTTAAAAGAGATGATACAGGGCCAGGGATTTAGATCAGTGATTCCACCGCTTGCCGTGCAAGCGCAAGGACCCGAGTTCGATCCCCAGTACAGAAAAAAAAAGAGAGAAATGAAATGGTATCAGAGTTCCTGTATACTCAATACCCAGTTTCCCATTTAACATCTTTCATTATTATGGCTGTTAGGTAAATCTTACAAACTCCTTACAAAAGACAAATCTTATAGTGAAGTGATAAGTAGGCTGAAGTCAGATATTGACCTCAGGCAGTAAGCTAGGCATATTGCTGAGGGAATACAGAAAGGTATTATCTGTTTCTAAGCCCTTCCTCCTACAGCATTATGCTGTTACAGTAAGGTAGACTCTACCATAATTACGAGAGTTCAGTGCTCTCCAATGGCTTCATATTTTTAAAATAGTATTTATATTTAATGAAAATATTACTTTTTTATTCCCACACTTTTATGCCACAGAATATTTCAAAATTAGCTCCTTTATAAATTTATACAAAACTTGCTTGATCCTGTTGCAAATAAGTACAGTAGAACATGTAAGTGGAGAATCACTTTATAATACTTTTTAGAATGAATGCCAATAGCAGTTATTACTTTTTTGGTACCGGGGATCGAACTCGGGTTCTTGCACTTGAGTAGCAGGCAGCGAAACCACTAAGCTAAATCCTCGGGCCAGTTATTACTTTTTAAAACAAATTCACACACTAAAAAAAGCTCCTGAAGAGAAACAGACTTGCAACAAACATAGCATATATATTAAAATATAAGACTGGGAAAATGTGTAAGATAGGAACTGACACATGAAATGTTCATAAGAAAATTCTATGAACACTAAAGTATTTGAATCAGTTTTGGGTACCCATACAGATTTTTTTTAAAGCATCTAAATTGTAAGCCAGGTGTGTGTCACATGCTGTGATCATGGCACTGGAAAGTGTGAGGCAGGAGGACTGAGTTCAAGGGCAGCCTGGGTTACATAGGAAAGACCATCTCAAAACCAAACCAAAAACAAAAGAACTAATTTGTGCTTAAAATAATATAATTTATACAAATTAAGAAATGAAGGTAGGTGTGATTTTGTACATCTGTAATCCCAGCACTTTGGAAGACTGAAGCAGGATCACAAATTCAAGCCCAGCCTGGGCAACTCAGCAAGACCATCTCAAAAACAAACAAAACACACACACAGAAAAATAAGAGTTCTTACCCTGAAAACACTTCTGCTGCTTCCTCATACTAGTATTAAAATTTGACCAGGAGATGAACCACTCTAGTTATTCCTAGGTATCATTTCTAACAGCACATTTATAAATCTTCTTACATTTAAAAATATCTCCACCAAGTTCAATCCCCAGTACCAAAAAGAAAAAAAAAAATCTCCAGTTTAACTACTAAAAATTTGACCACAGAATGTGGAAGCAAGTTCTTAGAAAGCACATTATTTTTTAGTGAATATGAGATTTCTCAGATGATGATTTTTCAGTATCATTTTTACATACAAAACCAACTCTATAAATCAAGCATTCTAATTATACTATCATTAAACCCTAGTTTTCAGATTATGTTGTGCTGAAGGAATCAATATTTTAGGGGGGAAAAAAAATCATAAACTGACCATAGCATAAATTACTGACTTGCTTCCTCTCTTGGAAAATCTTATGTGGGCCAGGGTATAGTACAATGATAAGGCAACTGCCTACTCTTGACTTGATCCCGAGTGCTGCAACTCTCCCCTCAAAAACCAACTGAAAAAACCTCATAGGATATAACAAATAGATCAAACCTAAATGTATCATTTGTTTCTGAGCTTACTAATACAATGTGCTTTTTGTTTGTGTTTTGAGATGGGGGTCTTTTGTCATCCAGGCTGACCTCCAAATCCTAGGTTCAAATGAGCCTTCTGTCCTAGTCTCCCAGTAGCTGAGACTACAGATACATGTAAACATACCAACTCTGTAATTTGTTATGTTGATCAAGTTTCTATCCTATGAAGTCAAGAACATTTTCTATAAGACAGAGTCTATGTTTTTCTATTTTTTTTTTTTTGGTACCAGGGATTGAACTTGGGTCCTTGCACTTGCAGGGCAGGCGGCAGAACCACTGAGCTAAATCCCTGGTCCTATGTTTTTCTATTTTTAAAAAATTAGTCCCCATTTACCTTTTCAACCCTTACTGCCCAATTTATATATCTGCTTAGTAGTAACAGGCTGGTCAGTGACTATCTTAATCTAGTAGCAGCCTTTCTACTCATTTGGGAAACCCAAATCACGTTTATCTCCACAGAGGTCTAACTGCTTCTATTTTTGCATGTTTATAATGTGTCTTCACTCCATTAGACTACCTAAAAGTCTTAAACTCAAAAAAATCAAAACTGACATTTTTTTTGGAATTTCCCATTTGTCCAGAACTAAACATAGTAAGTAAACATAAATAATCTTTTTAATTAAAAAACTCATCTACAAGCTGGGGATGGTGACACACGCCTGTGATCTCAGCACTTAGGAGACTGAGGCAGGAAGATTATCCTAAGTTTAAGGCCAACCTGGGCTACATAGTGAAACCCTGTCTCAGAAAAACCAAAAGTAAAACCAAACCAAACAAAACACACACACACAAGAAACAACAAAAATCCTCATCTATAATTTTAGCCATTTGAACTATACATATTTAACTAGCCTGTGTGTATGTGTATCTATGTCACTAATCTCGTTAAAACCTAAAGGCTTCTCAATACGGTACATCCTTTGCTATCCTCTCATATCTTCCTTCATAATTCTTATTTGTAGCCTGACATTTTATACTTGATCTTAGCCAAAAGGCCGAGAAGCAATGCCTGACATTTTATATACTTACTGTTTTCGCAAATTATAAAGTAGTAAGCTCCATAATAGAATTGTCATTCTCTGATGCTGTCCTAGTGCCTACAGGGCACTAAAACATGTTAAATGAAAGTATGAACAAATGAATTTGTTTCAATTAGTAAAATCGTAAAGGTGAACTTGTTTGAATAGACCAACCTAAAACTTGTCCAGCACTAATCAAGATGACCATCTCATTCCATAAGTTATAAAAATACAGACCTTAATGTAACAGGTCCTATGAGTTTTATGAGTGCTATTTTAAAAACAAAATTTATCCTTGTAGGTAGTCTACCTATAATCTATCTACTAGGAGCCCTACCAACTCTGTACATAGAATTTCAGTTGAAAAACTTAAAAGCTTATGAATGTTACTTAAAATAAATTTTAGCTCAAGTTTTATTATATGGTTCTACTACCTGATAACTTCCCCTAGGTTTACCTTTTTTTTTTGGTACTAGGGACCGAATCCAGGTATTTCACACTAAGTTACATCCCCAGTCCTAAATTCCCTAAGCTGAGCTTGAATGTGTGATCCTCCTGCCTGAGCCTCCCAGAGTAGTGGGATTACAAGTGTGTGCCACCATGCCTACCTGTTTATTCTTGTAATAAATGGTTATTCAGATTTTTAGTCCATAAAAAATAAAATTAACTGAGCATATAACCTGTAATCCCAGAACTGAGGGAGACTAAAGCAAGAGGACTGCAACCTGAGTCCAGCCTGGACAATTTAGCAAGATCCTGTCTCTTAGAGAGACCCTGTCTCAAAACAAATAAAATGGGGCCGGGGATGTAGCTTGGCGGCACCATGCCTGTCTGGCAAGCGCAAGGTCCCAGAGTTCGATCCCGGGTAGCAAAAACAAAAAGCAAACAACAATAAAACCCAAATCACAAAACAAATCAAATGTAGCTCTTAGATCACCCCTGAGTTTGTTCCACCACAAAACAAACCACACAAACAAAACCCCCCAAATAAAATGCAAACTTAATTAGCATCAAAGAGATACTAATCTGCTCATAAAGACATATATACATATATTTATATATACTTGGCAGAGGGGGTACCAGGGATCAAACTCAGGACCTTACTCTTGCCAGGCAGGCGCTGTGCTGCTCAGCTACATCCCCGGCCCTTGCTTATAAGGACATTTAAAGGACAAGAAAACAAAGGAAGTTCTGTTAATACTGGTAAGAACATTGAACTTTGGTAATCAAAAAGGGATAGACAGGGCCAGGGATTTAGCTCAGTGGTTCCAGTGCCTGCCTCGCAAGTGCAAGGTCCCGAGTTAGATCCCTGGTACAAAAAAAAGAAAGGGGTGGGGGGCAGACAGGGCTGGGGATGTAGCTCAGTTGTGCCTCATCTGCTGGAGCCTCAATTTACCCATCTCAAAAAAGATCACTACCATCATGGTCTAAAATTATTATGCCATTTTTGAAGATGGCACACGAATGGCATCATAGTATGATGAATGGCACAAAATGGACATTAATTACTAGTTTTTCTCCCCATCAAAATAAAGACCCTAATCAATGTTCTCTGAAAAACCTAAAGGGAAAATTCATAGAATAAAAATGACAAAGGGTCCTCCTGTGTTTCTAAATTTTACTGAAAAAACTTGGTGAGCTCCAATTTTCAGAATTCTTAAACAGAAATTACTTTTATTTCTAACATGGGCTTTAAACAGAAATTACTTTTATTTCTAACATGGGCTTATGTCTATTTCTCTTTGAAAAGTTTGGGGCTGGTAATGTAGTTCAGTGATAGAGTGACTGCCTAGCTTAAGAGGCCCTGGGTTCAATCCCTAGTACTGGAGGGGGAGGAGGGGTGCTGGTGTTGGGTTGGGCACAGTGGTACACACCTATAATTCCAGCTACACAGGTAGCTGAGGCAGGAGAATCACAAGTTCCAGGCTAGCCTGGGCAATTTAGTGAGACACTGTCTCAAAACTAATAAAAAGGAATATAGCTGTAGTAGATCACTTCCCTAGCTTCTGTGAGGGCCCATGTTCAACCTCCAACATGGGAAAACAAACAAACAAAACCACCAAAAACAATTTCCTTGAGAGTCCCTGATATACCACAGTTAAATGCAATCTGACTAAAGGCAAATTACAATAGGTTTGAAATTTTTGGGGGGGGTATTGAACTCAGGACCTTGCGCTTGTGAGGCAGGTGGCGGCACCACTGAGCTAAATCCCCGGCCCAACTGAAATTTAAAAGCATCTACAACATTCAACTATTTAGTCAATATTAAACCTCGTTCTCAATTTTGACATACACTTTACATGAATGTAATAAGAATCTTATTCCTCACAGCAACTTTTTTTTAGCCTTTGAGAGGCACAATAATCACCTAAAGTCAATTTTACATAAAGACAAAGGATATTCCATTTTCTAAGAGCAATCTATTTTTATATCAGAAAAATGAAATTTGGAAGCAATTAAAGTTGAATCCTAAATTTTGAGAAGAAAAAAATGAACACATACTCAGTGCTAAGAGTCAGACGTATCTAATAATCACAACTTTTCAAAGTCAAAGTTAGTCCCCATTTCCCAGCATGAATGAAAGTGACTAAGTCATTCGGTGACTTTCTCAAGTTAAAACAACCACTTATAACTCGGTGTTACGGCCCTAAATTCAGTGTCTCTCAAAGGCTTGCAACTCCCAAAGATGAGCACATAATTCTCCTATTCCCCCCATCTTCGATAATGATTAAACTCAGCTAAGGTAGATATGAAGACATAAGGAAAACCAAAGCAAAACAGAAAAAATTCACTCTGGCTACCTTTTAGCAAGTTTAAGATGATTATTTTTAAAATTATGTAAAGGGTTGTTATTTTGTAAATAATTTAGAAATATTTCAAATTCAGAATGTCAAAAACACCATTTACTCATATTGCTTTAACACAGAAAGCTTGGGAGGTGGAGTTCAGTTTTGGTTGGTTAGGTGCCTAGCATCCCACAAGTTTCTTGGCTCTTAGCATTATGATCTTAAATTAGGCAACTCAGGTCTCTGTAGAAAAGCAAGCACGAGCAAATTCAACTTCATTAAGTAGGCATGTACCTCAATGACATAAGTTACAAATGGATGTAAGAAATCAGTCATCTGATACAATAGTAGCCTTATCACTACATTTCTGGGTATCCTTAAAGAATTAGAAAACCATCTTTTCCTTACTGTTCTATCAATCAGTTATGTGTGTGATCTTGAGCAAGTCATTAACCATATGGGCTTCAAGTTTCCAAATCAGCAAAAAGAGAATACGTACCAATTTGACCTGCTTCACAAAGGGCAGTAAATCTCAATGCTTTCAATACCATAAAAATGCTGAACAGCCAGGTGTAGCGGCACAGGCTCTCCAACCCAGCTACTTGGGATGATGAGGCAGGAGGAACACAAGTTCGAGGCCAGCCTGGGCAACCTAGCAAGTTTTAGTCTCAAAATAATAAAAATGGTCTGAGGATATAGCTCAATAGTATAGCACTTGCCTAAAATCAGAAAGCCCTGGGTTCAGTTCCCAGTACCAAAAATAAAACAGCTAAACAATTAACAATTTCAAATAAAACACTAACAACAGGAAAAGAAAACTTTAAAAAGCATTTAAAATCCACTCAACTACATATTCAAAGGTGGAGAACACTTATTTATAGTACTGAATTCTACTCTGATGGAACATCCTAATATTACATCTATAATATTTGTACACTACTATGGTAATATAAGTATTTAGAGGCAGAGAAGTGAAATAATTAAAAATAAAAACAAAACTTAAATGCTACCAACTCTTGTTTAAAGACCCACCAAAGTAAAAAAGCAAGATACACGTGCATTATACGATAAAGATCTAGAATGCTAAATAAACAGTATTTTCAAGGGAATTCTATACTATATGCATACAAGGCATTACAGACCTTGAAAGCTGTAATAGACTCCACAAATATAACTGTTACAACTCTCATTTCCACATGAAAGGGCTACTACTATACATCCTTTAGGATATCAGAAATTTTGTAGTTTTCCTCACCACTAAAAAATGTTGAAGATATTGCCCTGTTTAGGATACTGGAAATCCAAAAGCACTCTTAAAAATACACCTTTCCAAACCCTTAAAATTTAACCTCAATCGCATCACAAAGCTACCGTATAGGCTGTAATCTTTCTCCAATTTACCTAATCAAATGCTACTGAATGAAATAAGTAAACACATTTAGCTATCTAGAAAACATTCTTCCCTCGTAGTATTTTTAAATGAGATTTTAAACGTCTATGTCTACCTATCGTGGCAAACCTGATGGTCAAAACTGTTAAGTAAACAAAAGATGACAGATCCATGATTTCTGCTAATCTTCCGAAGCAACAGAAATACGTGAAAATGTAGATGAAACAAGCACAAATACAACTTATGCCTGTAACACGCTCATTGATGCATTTTTCTACTGGGCAAAAGAATCGTTATTTACAACTATAGTAAGATTTTTATAGTCCTTGGGGATCAAACAAATTAACTTTCTTCATTATCAAAACAGGAACTTGGGTTTTTCCACTGTCTTCACTTACTTATGAAAAGCGGTTTTAAAAACCATCTGTTTCATAGGAATTCAAGATGAGACTTGAAGTTCAAAAAGATTTTCGAATTTTTGAAAGCTGTCCCAAAAAACCTTAAAATTCTCCCTCCCAATACATGCACTCATTTAAAAATGGAAGTCTAGAGCAGAACGTAGCTGCAGTGCCACCCCACTGCGTGACGTGAAATGTGGCACACCAGTCCTTCCTCTTCCCCGGGTAGAACTCGTCGCTGCCGCCAGGTCCCCGGGAGCCGGCCCAGGACAGTGGGAGGGAGCGACAAAGGCGGGGAGAAGAGGAGCGCGGCCACCGGCCCGGAAAGGCGGCCTCCCAGACTCTGAGGGCGCTAAAAGCGGAGGAAAATGGCCTCGGGCGCGGAAACGTCTCTGCGGGCAACTAAGGGCCGCGGATAGCGCGGCGGCCAGCTCCGCCTGGGGCCTGAGTCCTCTTCCGGCCCTGTACGCCCCTTCCCAGCCGGGGGCGGCCGCGACTCGGTCCTCTGAGCCCCCGCTTGCTCCTGCCGCCCGCCAGCACCTACCTCTGCAGACCCCAGCCGCGCGGGCGCCGCCAGTCACCCAGGCTGAGGCTGCACCCCAACCGCTGGCCCCGCCACGCTCCTTCCGTCGAACCCCGTCGCTCCCCTTTATTTGCAGGTCTCGCTGCCACAAAATGGCGCTGAGGGAGGAAACCGGCCTTGCCGACCGGCCCTGCCCCGCCCCACCCCGACGCCCGGCTCCCTCCGCCCCGCCCCACAGCCCGCCCGACCACAACCGCCAGCCGCTCGCCATGATAGTCCAGCCCGCTCACCGAGCAGTCGCCTCCACGGCGCGGCCGCAGTCACCCTTGCCCGTGGCTGGGTCCCGCTGGGGGCGTAAGGCGAGGACGGCCGGTGGCCGCTTTAGCCCAAACGGAGCTTCGAGGAGTAAGGGAACAGCTGCAGCCCTCCGGCGCGCCCCGACCCAGTCCCCAAGTCTGGCGCGTGCCCCGCGGCCGCCGGGGCTCACCGCACTCGCTGGGGGCGGGGAGGGAAGCGGCTGAAGAGAGGGATGGGCTGGAGAGGTCGGAGGTCAGCCGCGAGGCATCACGGACGGTGGTCCCCGGGTGGAAGCGTTCGGCTGGGCCACCTGCAGCTGCGGTGCGGCCTGAGGCGGAGGGATCTGGGCGAAGGAGGCGCGTGATTGGTCACATCGTGGTGCAGCACAAGTCTGTGATGCTTCCGCGTTCTGGCGGCCAGGTGCAGCCTCAAAACCCGAGCAGTGGGAGGAAATTATACATGTGTGAGACCTACTCTCGCCTTGGGTGTTTTGAAACTCCTGGCGACCTCTCTTTCGCCGCGGCGAGTGGCGTCTGGGCCGCTGGTTCATCCTGCCTCGATGTCTCTTCAGGCAAAGCCGAGGAGCTATTGTTCTCCTGTGGAGGGAGGTTGTGCCTGTGTTGGCGGCCCTGGGGACATCTCTCGAAAAAACGAGGGGGAAGGAGAGCCCTGGAGGCTTTAATGAACCCGATGAGATAAACTCCCTAGTCGAATATACTCCCTTAAGCAAGACTTGGTGCCATTTGGACCACTGAGCATCTACGGTGTTAACCTATAAACCACAAACAGTCCTTTCACTCTTAACAGCAGGAGCCAGGAAACTACTTAGCCGGCTTTACCTGAATTGTGAGTCCCCAAAGATGTCCTGCCATGAAATAATTTATAAGGATATAATTAAAGTATACTCCAGAGGTCAAAGGAGTCATGGTATAATCCCCTTACTCTCCAGTCTGGAGAAATTACTTTCAATTTCCATCATAAGAGCTGTGGAAAATTAAAAAGACAAAAATCTGAAGGGGAAAAACGGAAAAACATGAACAGATGATTCTCAGAAGAAGGAGGAGGTGTAATGTCCTTAAACATAAAAGATGCTCAACTGAAAAAGAAAAAACCTTGTGTAGTGGCTCAAGCCTGTAGTCCCAGCACTTGGGAGGCAGGAGGATGGCCAGGAGTTTGAGGCCAGTGTGGTCTACATAGTGAGTTCAAGACCAGCCTGAATTACATAGGGAGACCCTGTCTCAAAAAACAAACAAAACAAAACAAAAGCAACCATAAAAGATGCTCAACTTCATTTATAATGAAAATACGCATTGCAGTCACGTTTTCTGGTGAGAATGGAAAGAAGGTTCCAGCCCCATGGAGTACCAAAATTACATAGGCATTTAACCTTGCACATTGCAACTTTAAGAAACAATTTTTTTTTTTCATTGAGGCACTTGGGATTGAACCTAGGGCCTTTGTACTGAGCTACATCCCCAGCCCTTATTTTATTTTTTAATGTGAAACAGGCCCTAAATTGGAATTGGGAACAAAATTAAGGACATTATCAGTGTTTAATCAAGTCCTGACTACTTTGAGCTGATTGTTTTAGACATTATTGTTTAACTGCCTAGATTATTACTAAAGATAGCAGTCTGACTCCTTGTAAGTCTGACTTTGTGGCATGTTGACTTCCTGGGCTGGTTATTGTTAAGAAGGGCTTAGTTTCCTGGGCTGATTGTTATAGGTTATGGATTAGAATTCTACTTTTATGAAATGTATAATCTGGCCATTGCCCATTGGTATATTTAATCACTAAAATGAGTCAGGAGCCAGCTTGAAGGACCTCCCACTGGCCAAATTTGGAGTAATTTTATTATCAAAAGAAAAATGACTACTATTGATTGAATTTATCTTAACTTTTTGACCAAAAAATTGAGGTTCATCCTTAGTTGATAAGGGAAGATGTCTACAAAACTGCCAGCTAACAGTAGAATTAGGAAATAACCATTCTGCAAAACCCAATGAAATACTTAGACAAAGATTACCAGTGGACTTTAAAACTTACCTGAAGCCAGGTGTGGTGGCGTGGGCCTGTAACCCCATCTACTGGCTACTGGGGAGGATAAGGGAGTAGAGTTGTGAGTTTGAGGCCAGCCTGGGCAATGTAGCCAGGATTTGCCTCAAAAAAATAAGCTTATATTTTAAAAAGACTGAGGATGTAGGGCCTGGGATTTTGCACAGTGGCACTGCACCTTGTGCAAGCACAAGGTCCTGAGTTCAATCCCTGGTACCAAAAAAAAAAAAAAAGACTGAGGATGTAGTTCAGTACTCCCTGAGTTCAGTCTCTAGTGTACAGATAGGGGGACACCTTTACTACATACAGTGTACATAGTGCTGAGAAATGGAGAATTTCTGCAGCACTGCATAGACAACCTAATTGTAAAGAGAGCACATCTTTATAGTGGAGCTATGTGGTGGTCGCCCTCTGGTGGTCATCAGCCAAAACATTTAAATTTAGAACCATTAATATCCTAGTAGGACAATCTCCAGCTTACAGAAAATAGAGAAAGGTTAGTAGTGCAAATCTAACCACTAGAAAAATTATTCCAAAAATTTTGTGAGACTCTAAGCAGTATTTACTGAACAACTGAGTTAGTCATATCATAGTCTCAGTATCAATATCCAACCATTTTCAAAGTGCCATTTCAAATAAGATATCAAGTATAATGAAAGTTATTTGCATATTACTGTATTAAATAACATGTACAATTGAGTTAGATTTATCTTAAATAAATTGGCCACTTTTTTCCCATTGGCCTAGTACTTAGCCTGTAACATTTATTTTTAGCCTATAGCTTCAATTACTATTACTTTAATTTAGGGATCACCTAATAAAATATTAAGTAAGGAGGCACCTAGTCCATCCAGGCTGTTATAACAAAGTACCATAGACTGGGTGGTTTGTAAACAACAGAAATTTATTTCTCCCTGGTCTGGACAATGGAAGTCTGAGATCAGGTTTCCAGCAGTGTCTGGTCCTGATGAGGGCCCTTTTCCCATTATATAAGGCTGACTTCTCATAGCTTCACTTGGCAGGAAGAGCATGAGAGAACTCTGGGATCCTGTGTATAAGGGCAGAAATCTCTTTCATAAGTGCTACACTCTCATGACCTCATTATTTCCCAAAGGCTCTGCTTCTAATACCATCACATTAGGGTTTCCACATATGAATTTGATGGGATAATATCTATTCTAGCAGGACAGAGAAAAAAATAGAAAAGGCTTACCTTTGGTGTTGGGACTCAAGGAGATGGGAGATAGTACAGAACTGGTGGTAGAAAAAGCTGGTAAAGGGCTGGGGAATTAGCTCAGTGGTTTCGCTGCCTGCTGCACAAGCGCAAGGACCCAAGTTCGATCCCCGGTACCAAAAAGAAAAAAAAAAAAAAGCTGGTAAGGATTTAGGGTGTTTTCATGAACTCAGAGCTGCTGTGACCATGACCATATCATACAAGGTGGTAGGTACCTTGTTAGGTCCATTTTTTCATCTGGAATGTCCTTTCTACTCTTCCTGTAAAAGATGTCCTATCCACCATTATCAGTTGCCTTAAGAGACATTTTAGCCTAGCACAAAAAGACAAATACTGTATTTTTTTTTCTTTTTTTCCCTGGTACCAGGATTGAATTCAGGACCTTGCACTTGCCAGGCAGGCTCAGCACCACTGAGCTACATCCCTTGCCTGACAAATACTATATGTTGTCACTCAATGTGGAAGCTAAAAAAGTTGATGTAATAGAGAGTAGACCGGTGAGCCAGGCATGGTGGCATACACCTGAAACCCCAGCTGCATGGGAGGCTGAGGCAGGAGAATCATAAGCTCAAGGCCAGCCTGAACAACTGAGACCCTGTCTCAAAAACAAAAACAAACCATAGACAGGCTGGGAATGTAGTTCGGTGCAAAAGTCCTGGGTTCGATTCCCAGTCCAGTGTACACACACACACACAGTTTGGGGGGAAGTGGAGGGATGGAGAGAATGAATAGTGGTCACTAGAGGAAGGGAAGTGAGAGAGGGAAAAAGAGGAAGCTGAATCACAGGTACCAAGATACAATTAGGAAGAATACAGGGAGTAATCAAAATATGAATATTTAAATTTACACAGTAAAAAAACATTGCCATCAATTCACCTCAAAGTACTCCTTACAATACACTTACCTATCATTCTTTCCAGTTTCTGAAGCAGTTCTAGAAGTTCTCTTTTGTGAATATCTTTAGAAAGTATGATAAAAATACAGTGAATGTTACTGCTAGTTGCCATCAATGAAAATGCAGACTTGTAAAAGTATTACAACCACTTTATTAACCATATCTGGCACTGTGCAATTTCTAGTTTTTCCCCAAAGTCCAAATGACCATGAAAGGTATATATTTTGAAATGATTCAGGACATCAAAGCAGCCATGATAGTGAAACTAAAGCCACTCATGAGAGGAGTTCCAGAATTGCTTCAGAAAGTGGCAAGAATGAAGGGTTAAGTGTGTTTGAAGCTTGAGGGGGGCAGTATTTTGAGGAAAATGAATGGCAATGTGTCTTTTATGATAATAAATTTTTAAAATTTAAATATTTACTGTATATTTTGATCCTACCTTGTATTTTTTTTTTTTTTTTTTTTTGGTACAGGCGATCAAAGTTAGACCTTGTACTTGCGAGGCCGGAGCCAGATTACCTTGTATGTTCTATTGTTTTACATCACAGTTGGGTAACTATAGGTTAGAACAATTTATTATATATTTTATAAGTAACTAGAAGAGAGGAGTTGAAAGTTTCTCAACACAAAGAAATTATAACTATCTAAAGAGATAGAAATGCTAATTATCCTGATACAATCATTACACATTTTATATATGTATCATATCATCATATTTCATAAATATGTACAAATACAATGTGTCAGTTTAAAATTAGAGACATTATTTATGTGTTAGCTTCTGTTGTGGTGACAGGTACCAGAAATAAATGAGCTTAAAGGAGTAAAAGTTTATTTTGGCTCATGGTTTCAGAGGTTTCAGTCCATGGTGCCTTGACTGCATTTGCTTTTGGACCTGTGACGATTCAGAACATGGAGAGGAGCACATGGTAGAGCCAAGGATCTCACCTTATGATGTCCAAGAAGTGAAAGAAAGAGAAAGGAGTCAGGGTTCCAGTATCACCTTCAGTGGTGTATCCCACTACCCTAACTTCCTTCCACTAATCTCCATTTCCAAAAGGTCTCATTAGCTCCCCACAGTGCCATCAACTGGGTACCAAGCCTTCAAAACATAGGCCTTTGGGGGAGATTCCAGTTCTAAATCATAGCATTCAGTCATTGAGACTCTCTTCATTATTAAATATAAAAGTACCCTTTGTTTTGTTTTTTGTTACCGGAGATCAAACTCGGGTCCTTGCACTTGCAGGACAGGCGGTGGAACCACTGAGCTAAATCCCTGGCCCTAAAGGTACCCTTTGGAAGTACCCCTATCCTGGTCTCTATAATCTATTTCCTAGTCACCAAATCAATGCAAATAGCAGCTTTCTGAAAAGAATTCACTATGCCAGGATGATTAAGCATTGCTGCTCTCCTTCCAAATTTCCTAGGAGACCATGGCACACAGTGGTGGGATCCACATTTCTCTTCTTGCTGATCGTGCCTTGATCAAATTTGAGTCATAGTATCTTCGACCTAGGGCATCAGTTATGGCTGGAATAAGTCAATGTTTCTTAACAAGAATGATAACTATAAAAAAAATGATAACTATATTTTGGGCAGTACAAAAACAAGTTTTTATGTGAAAGTGGTCTGTGCATTTCAGGACACTTAGCATTGCTAGACCAACCCACTAAATGCTGGTATCACCTTCCTGTGACAACTGACAGCATCCTTCCATGTTTCCATACACTTGTGGCTCTGATGAGAACCCCTGATCTAAGGTAAGGGTAGATACCTTTTTAACCAAATAGTGGTCTTTTTATTTATTTATTTTTTGGTACCAGGGATCGAACTTGGGTCCTAGCACTTGTGAGGCAGGCAGTGGAACCACTGAGCTAAATCCCCGTCCCCCTAATAGTGGTCTTTTTAACAAAATAGTGATGCTCGCTTCTCGCAGGCAGGGAGGAGCAATTCTGGCTAGAACCAGAAAAAAAAATAGACCAGGGCTTCCAAGAGAGATTTTCCTCCCTGATAAAGTAAGAGAGAGGCACAAAGAAGAAAGTATTTTTCCTCACTCTTCCTTCCTGTCTCTTAGGCTAGGAGAAGCTGGGATGCTTGCTTATACAGAAGCCATTGTGTAACCCTGAGGCAGTAGGTTGGGAAACTAAAGCATGCTGCTAGAAATGCTGAGTCATGGTTGGAAAGTCCCTGGATCCTGAATGAGGTTGTTAAACTTCCAAACTTACATAGGGATTGTGAGTTTTGGAGCTTTTATTAAGTAAGACAGAAATGTTCTTATATTTAAAACCATAGTCCATCATGATTTTTTTTTTTTGGTACTGGGGATCAAACTCGGGACCTTGAGCTCTTGAGGCAGGCGGCGGAACCACCAAGCCAAATCCCCGGCCAGTCCATTATGATTTCTGTTACTCACAGCCAAACACATTCTAATGATTCATGAATTAAAGAAAATAGGGGGAAAAAAAGTGCCAACAAAGCTAGGACCCATCTCTTAAAGTTTAGACTATATTATGATGTTCAGATCCATCTCTGTTTAGTAGCGTGATAAACCAAGCATTTAAAAACCACTATTCCCCTCAAAGAACCCTCAAACTTGTATAAGACTTAGATACATTAAAACTCTAAGAATCTTGGAGAATCTTATTTTCAGAATTTTTCAAAGTATTATCCTGTTTTGTAATTCCAGCACTCAGGAGGCAGAGGCAGGAGGATTGCCATGAGTTCAGGCTAGCCTGGGTACACAGTAAGTTCAAGGCCAGCCTGAACTACATAGTGAGACCCTGTCTCCAAAACAAAACAAAAAATTTTATCCTATTTGCCTTCAATCCTTGGTAATTATGTTTAACCATATGGATACAAAAGGTGGAAATCTTTGATTGAACATGCAGTGAAATCAATCAATCTCTCTTTATCGCTTTTTGTTTTATGAGACAAGTTCTCCCTATGTAGTCCAGGCCAGGTCAGGGGGGCCTCAAACTCACAATCCTCCCACCTGAGTGCTGGGATTCCAAGTGTGTACCACCAGCCTGACATCTCTTCTAATTTTTAAAAAGGATAGTTCCCTGTCCCTTACTAATTAAAGACTTCCAAGCTCAGGAGACAGTAAGTACATCCAAAAAAATTTGTACCTATTGGCAAATTGCAAACTGTATCCTTGACAATTTGTAAATCTATATACTTCTGACAGAGAAGAGTACTGGACTTTGGGCAAATGTTCTACTGTTGACCCTGCTGATTAGCTGGTATAGACACTTGTTAAGAAAGCTGGCCTAAGAAAACAGTACCCCAACATGCTGAGCTAGAAAGAATCTTAGAACAAAGGTCTCACTGACCTTCCCTTACCTTCTGTCTCTGATCCTCTTTCTCTTCCAAAACACAGGGCAAGGTTGCCCTGAGGTTCCTTTATGTATCTAGAGACCAGATCGACCAAAGAGGAATACAATTGTCTTCAATCTTCTTACTGAAATTTTATTAACCAAGAAAAACTAAAGGTGTATTATAGGGGAGGAGACTAAAGAGAAAACCCAGCACCCAGAGCCCAGAGGAATTTTGTCTCAGGGTACTGTGTGTTTTCAGGATGCATTTATTTCTTCTAGAAATTATGTGCCACCCTTCTAAAATTGCCAACGGGCTCCACTTCCCTCTCCCTTATGAAGAAGAGAAGTTAACCTTCAACCATAGGGCCCTGCCTTTGAATTTTGTATTTTTTGGGGGGTACCAGGGATAGAACTCGAGAGTTTTGCATTTTATATGACTCCCATACTTATGCATATTAATAAATACATAATGGGGCTAGAGGTATAGCTCAGTGGTAGAGTGCATGCTTAGCATGCATGAGGCCCTGGGTTTGATCCCCAGTTCAAAAGCAAATCAAGTAAGTGAGTGATGCTTTTCTCTTGTTAACCTATCTTTTGTTATAGGGCTATTTGCCATGATCCTTTATCATATGCGGTAAGCAGATAGTTCCTTTTTCACCCTTACAGAAATATGTAAGATTTATTTTCCTTGCCTTTCTCTGTTTTTATTAATTTTATGTTTTTTCCCCTCCATTGTACTTATCTGTGTCCCAGTGCTTTCAATCACATCCAAATCTTCATCTCTTCTCATGGACAAATGCAGCAGCTTCCTAATTGATCTTCTGCCACTCATCCTTATTTTTCATCAAAACCATGCTTTCTTATCTCCCATGCTTTCACACACACAAAAAAAAACATAATCAAACAAGGTTGTGACACATCGTGATGACTGACACTAACTAAAGCTATAAGGCTCTACACATGGTTCCAAGATATTGCCCAAACAGACCTAATTGACCTTGATAACTAACAAGAGGTTAATTTTATTTAATATAGGTCTCACTAAAACTTGGTCTTAAACACCCAATAAAAAACTATAACTAAAAGTATATAAAATCAAAAGCATATAGCTAGACTTTAAAAAAGGCTCCAATTGCTGACCCCTTCTGACAGTTTCCAAATACACTAATAGCTAACCACTGTTATAGGTGATTAAATAAAACCAAGATAAAGTTTATACAAAACCAACAGTTTTTAAAATTTTTTAGCTCAAATTGGTTTTTAAAATTATCAAAGTTTTAGTCCTTTTACAGGTACAATTAAAATTATGACAAAATATCAGACTTATAGATAATCTCCATTAGTGGAGGGTCTATAGGTCAACAACTTACATTCACTATTTTAGTTCCCTAAAAACAGTTTCTAAACATAACTCTTCCCCCAAACCACCTTTTATTTTAGTGCTTGTACCATAACTATACATTCTCTTAATTTCCTTAAAAATTTTGTTTATTCTTATAGGCTGCCAAACTCAAAGTGATCATACAGACAATATCAACAATAAATATACTGGGGGCCAGGGATTTAGCTCAGTGGTTTCACCGCCTGCTGCGCAAGTGCAAGGACCTGAGTTCAATCCCCAGTACCAAAAAAAAACCCAAAACAACTATACTAGATAATTTTTTTACCAAAATCCACCAGATCGACCTTATAAAGAATTTATAATTACTAAATTACCACATGATTTTTATTTAAGGCCTGTTAAAATAGCTCCCTAAAAGGGGCCCCTAACTGCAGTCTTCCCTACATCAACCCTTTTCAGCTCAAAGCAGTTAGATGAAACCTGTGCCCCTTCTCCCCTAACCACAGTTGGGGATAGACCTTTGAAATAGAGCTTATTATAGATGACTAATCCGGTTAAAAACACTATAGGTCCTTATAACCCATGGACACAAGCCATTGTCAGATATACTTGCTTTTCCCTAAAAACACACTTACATAAACAAGAAAGGGGAAGTACAGCTACCTCTACAAGCTCAATTAGATTTTGTCACCTTCTCTTGTTGCCTTCATTTAAAAAATTTTTAAATTCACTTATGAAAAGTAAATATCCTCCATCAAAACTCCATTGATACTAAGATAAATCTACAGACATGTTCTAGACACAAATGTTGTCAAAAGACATCCTAACTAAGGGGCCGGGGATTTAGCTCAGTGGTTCCACCGCCTGCCTTGCAAGTGGAAGGTTCCCACTTCGATCCCCGGTACCAAAAAAAAAAGACATCCTAACTAAAAGGTAAAATGGCTCAATGCAATTAATAACATAGGGGCCAAAATATGCTTGTGTTCCAACAGAGGACAAACTCAGACCTACAGAGATCACCAGACCTGACACATTGCCTGCCGCTAAAACTCAAAAACAGACATATCATGCCATTAAAAACAAAAACAAAAACCAGAACCAACTAACATCATCATAAGCTACAGCTAACAGAACAGAACAGGGGGAGATGCTGGGAGCACTGTGCTGCAGATCACTATGGCTGGGCCTAACCTCCTCCTCCAGCGGATGAGGCAGGGCCCCAAGAGTGAAAGGAACACACAGCTTGTTTGCTTCCTCTCATGGATGAGGTAGGCCTCCGTGGCAAGAGAACAGGTGACAAGCTGATGTGGTAGAGCAAGGCCCAGCCAAAAAAAAAGATGTGCCTTTCTCCCCATCCGATAAAGCTATCAAGTGTAAAGCCCTGCAGAGATTAGCCACTCTCCCAGTTCCAGTTACAGAGCAGCCCTGTCACCACCCCCTGCACTTCCCTTATCGCTACTACTGTAAATAAACGGTGCTGTAGTTACCAGACAGTCCTTTTCTCCCATCAGGAGGAAGGCTCCACCTGGCCTCAGCTTTATCTCTTCGTCTGTCTTTTCTTCATCCCCCACCAGTCACCCTCCACGGACTCATCAGCTATGCAGGTGGCACTGCACAGCAAGCTCTTTCTACTAAATACAAGTCTGGGAGATTTCCAATCTAGGGAAAATGGAGTAGCCATACTTTTCCATGTTGCTCTTACTAAGTACAACTAAAAATCTTGGGCATAAGAAAACTGAAATGTAGAGAAGAGGAAAAGTGGCTAAATACCTCAGGACCAAGAACTGGCACTTCAGTGGGCTCCTTGGGTTTCCTCCCCCACCCCCATACTGGGGATTAAACCTAGGGCCTATGCACTGAGCTATACTCCTAGACCATTTTATATTTTAATGCAAGAAAAGGGTCTCTCTGAGTCACTAAATTAGCTAGACCAGGCTCGAACTTGTGATCCTCCTGCCTCAGCCTCCCATAGTGCTGGGATTCCACATGTGTACCACCACCTCTGGGCCTGGGTTTCCTTTTTGCCTCAATATCCAGAAGTTGGTCGATTGGAAACATCAAGCACAGATCAAAACAAAAACAAACAAAAAACCCCTAAAAAAAGCCTACTCTCCTCCACCAAAGGATCAGGAAAAGGGCAGCCTACCAAGACAGACACCTTTAGACGGTAACTTGTAAACTCTGTCAGACACAGGAGAAAAATCAGTGGCCTCCACCCAACAGCTCCGGGAAAGGCTTCCGGTGAAAACACCCAGGAGCTGGGATGTGGTTAAATGAGGCAAGACCTCAGGGTAGGAGTATTTCACAACTAGGGTGGAATTGCAGTAACTTTGTACTTTTCAGCAAAAGGCAACACAGGAAGTGAGCACCACCTGGTGATGAAACTCAGCAAAACATCTAAGTGGTGTGTTTGGGAGTGGGCTGGTCACAGCCAAAGAAATGTGGCTTCTTGGAGGCCTAGGAGGAAGGTGAGAGAAGGGACTAATGAAGCCCAGATGGCGTGTGCTGGTCTGTTTCCAGTCATGGCCAATCTCATCAAACACAGGAGGAGAAAGTTAGTGTGAGATAGGTCATCCCCAGTTCCTTGATTTCTGGAGAGGAAAAGAAATGGAGGAGGGGAATATTGGGGCAGAAAAATGGAAAACTATATTTTGTTAGTTCTCATAACCAGACATCTAGGGAAGTAAGGTCGTCTGTTCGTTCCATATCCAGATGGAACTGCTGAGGCTCAGCAGAGTTAAATTACAGCATGGCTGGGCTAGGGATTTAGCTCAGTGGTTCTACCACCTGCCTCGCAAGCGCAAGGACCCGAATTTGATCCCCGGTACCAAAAAAAAAAATTACAGCATGGCTAAGACAAAGTAGAACCCCAATTTAGATGAAATTAAGCTGATTCTAGAGCCTATTCTTAAACATGTACAAGTTTCCCACTGCGACACAGGCAGAAAACCAGAAATCTTCACCAACATCCTGATTCAGCTAACATAGAGAATATAACAAGGTATGTTTAAACTCACCAGACTGTTTTATGAAAAGAGTTAGTGTCCCCTACTTGGAACATCCTTATTTTATACCAGTAGACCCTTGAACTGAAAAACAGGCCTTCTTCTCTGTGGGAGAAACCTTAGACATGGGGAAAGGGAATTTTATTCTTGTTTTCTAAGAAATAAGTGAGAAAATACATGATTATATGTAGTGTGAGCAAAAAATACGGTGAATATTAAATTTAAAAAATTATTATAGTGAAAGACAGATTGCCATTAGTCCCCCTCAAAATACCCTCTCTCACTTCAAACACCCCATTATTCTTGCCACTTTATTTATTTATTTATTTTTTGTGTGACAGGGTCTCATTATGTAGCCCAGTCTGCCCTTGAACTTGAAGTGACCCTCCTGCCTAAGCCTCCAGCATTTACTGTTTTCTTTTTTTTTTTTTTCCATGAAAGAGGACTCCAGAACTGCTTCAGAAAGTGGTAAGAACAGCACTCTGGAGGCTGAGGAAGGAGAATCACAGCAAATTCAAGGCCAGCCTGGGCTACAGAGTGAGTTCAAGGCCAGCCTGAACTACATGGCAAGACCCTGTCTCAAAGCAAAAACAAGAGAAAATAAAGTGGTAAGAACTGAGAACAGTGGAGTATGTTTGAAGTGAGGCAATGTATTTTGAGGGAGATTAACAGCAGTATGTCTGTAATGATTTTTTTTAAATGTAAATGATTTTTTAAAATTCAAATATTCACTGTATATTTTGATCATCCATGCTAGGCCAAAGGATTCAATAGGTTTGAGTAGTGCTGCTGCCTTTGAGAGAGGACTTGCCTAATGGTGATGCAGACAGGTTTGATAGGAGGAAAGCTAAAGGGGCTTGAGTGGAAATAATGAGGTCCACAGAGTTGTCTTAATAAGAGAATCTGGGGCTGGGGATTTAGCTCAGTGGTTTTGCCTCCAGCTGCACAAGCGCAAAGACCGGAGTTCGATCCCCAGTACCAAAAAAAAAAAAAAAGAGAGAGAGAATCTGGGTTGCCAAAGGCCATGTCCAGAAGTAATGGAAAAACATAGGTGTGTTCCAGGAAAATGAGTATTTTAAGAAGCCCATGGTCTGATCGGGGAAGGTACAGGAGATAAAGCTGTACTGCTCACCTAGTTATATTCCAAGTTGGAATTTAGGGGGAAGCCCAGGACACAGATTGGGCATGTGCCCCTAGAAGGGAGCAGCAAGGACTAGGGAGTGTTTGGGAGCCTCAGTCACTGCAAGTAGGGAACTAGCCAGATGGACAGGATAAATGGCAGCAGATAAGTATGCTTGTTATACCTAGGAATCTTTCTAGAAAATACAGAAGAAATACATATTTAATAAGTATTTTAAGGATAAACCATGGCATGGCTTTGACCTACGTATTTTTCCAAAATGCAGTTGAGGCTTCAGCTTTGGCTTTGGGAAAAGCTAGTCAGATGCTTACTTTAATGACATTTGGACTGTTTTCTGATCTTGTGCTAAATGGATTGTTGTGTAACATCATAGACTACTCTCACATTTAACTGGGTAACAACATTAGTCATACAAACAAGGCATGCCTCTCAGATTATTTTCAGTATCTAGAGTCACTAGATGTAGTGTGGAATGAAACTCATCCTAGGTTCTATATTCATTGAGATTCTATCAGTTAAAGTACAAATGTGTATTTATTATGCAAGAACTTTGAAAGAGCAAAATATATTGTTTATCCTGTTTAATATCATTATTTAAATTTTTAAAAACATTTATTGACATAAAAGAACATTGTGATCTTTTTTTTTTTTGAGATAGGGTCTTACTATTAGTCCAGGCTGGCTTTGAACTTATGATCCTCCTGCCTCAGCCTCCCGAGTGGTGGGATTACAGGTATGCACCACCATGTCTGGCCATAATGATCTTTTAAAGTTAGAATTATTTAAATTTTCATAAACATTTATTGATTCAGAAGAACATAATGGTCTTCCTAAAGTTATCTAGTTAATATACTCCCTTTTAATACTTTTGTTAATTCTCAACCTATCTTCATATGCATTTTGCCTTTTAGAAGTTCTTAATAATTATCTTTGTACATAAAGCACAGTGTTAAAATTAACTTTCACAATCACTATGCAGTACTGTGGAATATGGACACACACATACTCCATCTGCCTGATAGTGCAGCAATGAGCTCAACAATAATCTCGAAGCTGAATGCTGAGAAATGACTGCAATGTCAAGTACTTAAAATTAGCTAGCTGACATTTAAAATTAAACTATTACTACTAAATGTTTTCATAACATAATATTTTTTTAAGATAATATCTTTAAAAAAATAAAACCTTGGTTTTTTTCTTGAATTTCAGAAGTTCATTGTGTGATGGTGATTGGATTTAACCAAATATTGATCATCACAACTGGCTTTTACACCTTCAGCTGAAGTGCATTTATGTACATATTGTACTTCTAAGTTCTTTAGAAGGTAACTAATAGAATTGTGTCATACCGTTTCTTGCTATTCTGTAAACATTAATTATATGTTAATATTTATTATAATTATCAGTTACAGAAACCCTAATAACTTTTCAGCTTTTATTTTTTTTGGTACTGGGGATTGGACTCAGGACCTTATGCTTGCAAGGCAGGCAAGGCTGTCACTGAGCCAAATCCCCAGCCCCCCATAACTTATTTTTACAGTGCTATAAGTTGGATTTTCTTTATTTTTTTTTTCCTGTGGTTTTGGGGATTGAACAAAGGGTCTTGTATTTGTCCCAGCCCCTTTTTAATTCTATTTTGAGATAAAGTCTTGCTAAGTTGCCCAGGCTAGCCTCAAACTTGTGATCCTCCTGTCTCAGTCTCTTGTGTAGCTGGGATTACAGTTGTGCACAACCATGCTCACTTAGTGTGGATCTTAGATGGCCCTAAAGACTTGGTCCCCAACCTTTGGAGATCTCCAGCTATTGGGAGATAGTACAACCATTAGGAGGTAGGGCCTAGTCAAAGGGCCTAGGTCACTGGGGGTGTGCTAAGGACTCCAGCCCCTTCCTGTTTCTCCCTTTGCTTTCTGGCTGTGATGGGGTGAAGTTTCCCCTGCCATGCACTCTCCCTACCATGTACTATCCTACCAAAGTCCCCAAAACAACAGTTCATCTAACCACTGACTAAACTTCTGAAACTACGAGCCAAAATAACTTTTTTCTCTAAAAGTTGTTTATCTCAGATATTTTGTCACAATGACAGGAAGCTGAGTAACACAGTGACGATGTGCCTACTTTTTTTTCAGGTACACTAATTCCTTCCAAGATGGTTGTCATCATTCAGCCTGACTTTGCTCTAATTTATTCATTTTAACCAACCATCCTTTCTTCATAACAGATCTTAAGAACTTGTTCATTTTCCTTTAGAGGTGATTTATTTCCCTATTAATTGTAAGCTTCTCAGACCACCTTTAGGCCCCTTTCTTTTCCTCTCTCTCTCTCTCTCTCTCCCTCCCTCCCTCCCTCCCTCCCTCCCTCCCTCCCTCTCTCTCTCTCTCTCTCTCTCTCTCCATCATACTGGCAACTGCCTAGCTCAGGCCTTTTTGTTTCGAGACTGAGCTTTGGACACAGGAACTGGGGTGTCATCAAATGTGATGAGCAAACTGTACCCACTGTATCATCACCCAGTGCCTTTCGCTGTAACCTGGACTCCTCTGATCTTCTGAACCCTTCATAGGCTCTGATCCTGCTCCTCTGTGGCCTTCCGTGGTCTGGCATCCATTGCTGACTCATGGTACTTCATGTTTTGTAATAGTTTTACCTCTGTGACAGTAGCTCCAGTAGCTCCTGACAGATAGTGATTTGGTCCTCAGGGGACACTTGGTAATTTTTGGAGATGTTGCTGGTTGTCACAGCTAGAGGTAGGTGAATGCTATTGGCATCTGATAGATAAAGGGTAAGGATGTGGATAATACATTCTCATATACAAGACAGCCTCTGCAACAAAATTATATGGTCGGAAATGTCGGGAGTACTGAGATTGAGCAGTCCTGCCCTTCAGGTTCTGGGCTTTGACCCCAGACTTCAGTCATTTGACAGTCTCAAGCCTTCTTGTCATCCTGTCAGATGCTGCTGTCCTTCCTGGTGACAGGCTTTCTGGGGCTGTAACTAAGCTTAAGATAATATCAGACAAGGGCCGGGGATTTAGCTCAGTGTTTCCGCTGCCTGCCTTGCAAGCGCAAGGTCCTGAGTTCAATCCCCAGTACAAAAAAAAAAGATGCTA